CACATGAAGCGATTGTGTGCTGGCTCTGGCCAGAAACAGCTGGAGGGTAATTACATTTTTGGCCCTATTGTCAGAAGTGATTCTCTTAAGTTGTGGCCCTTCCTGCTGAATTTCTACTTTTGTTTGATAGTTTCACTCGGAGATTTATCTATCTTTCTGACCTCAAAAGTAGTATTTTAACAGAAACACCACAGAATACTGTGAGGGGAGCTTTGCTTGGTAAGACTGACCGGTACGGTTACTGGTACTGGACAACATGAGTGATGGAATTGCATGTATCCTGCAGGCTTGGCTTCTATTGGCCACTGGTCTGAGATCATCAGACTACATTTCTTTTGACTGCTCCCTGAATGTAAACACTGGTGTTTTGGGAATTTTTTTTTACAAGCAGTTCCAAAACCTTGATGCCAGATGTAAACACATGCTTTGGTGGATAAATGCGAGCCAGATGTCATCGGGTGTTAGCAGGTTTTTGAGCGGCATAAAAAGGCCTTTACACGTGCTTCTGACTAAATAAATTTAGGATGATTCAGAAAGTGTTTGTAGCTCCCAGTAAATAATCCAGAAAAACTAGTTTATTGTCCTGTGTGGTTTTGTGGGATTTACCCAATTAATTATTTACTTCTGGGCGTTAATGTTTCATGATGTGTCTATTGTCACAATTTATGATGCTTGAGGGAAATGTTGGATTGAACAAAACAGGAAACATCATGAAATAATTAGTGTTCACAGGATCCGCCACAAACTATTGACAAAAATACATGCAAGCTTGTTTTAGTCTGCCATGATGGACAGCTCTGATGTGGACGTCCTGTGACCATGCAGAGTGCACTCTAATGAAAAAAAAAGCAACTAAACTCTAAAGGTGTCAAGTCTGGGTTTCACCACCCCGGATAAGTGGTGGATAATAGATGGACGGATGAGGTTAGGACATTCCTTTTTTATATTATCATTAAACAGTAGAGCTTTAAGACCTCCATTAAAACGGTGTTCTTCTTAGAGCTGAAACTGATCATTCTTTGTGGCCCAGTTTTTCTTCAGGCCATCTGAGTTTTTAGCTTTAAATGGAATATGTCATCTGTCCTGGTGGTAAATGGAAGATGCTCCTCAGCACAGCTAACATCTCCAGCAAAACATATCCAGGAAAAGAGGGTTTCATGGGTGTTTGTGGGCGGGGCCCAGAGGTCAAAGCATCAGCGTAAACTTTTTAAGTGGAAATTTGATTGGCTCCTCAAAAGACAAATTCCAAACAAAGGGAAATGCCAAGACCAGAAAAAAATGTTTTTTCTTCTGTGAATTGTCCGCTTCAAAACAAATATTATCATTCATCTTTTTTCATTTCTCGTCCTCCGCGCCTCCCTGTTGTGGCGCTGAGGGACGACAGAGCGCCGCTTCATCAGCGGGCCAGAAAACATTCTGGCGGCGCAGCCTCCACATTCCTGCTTTGCCCGAGCGTACACTGCAAGCCTTTGTACAACAAGCCAGAGGTCTGGACGGATCCCACCGTAGGCCGGCCTCTGCCCGGACCGCGAATGGCCTCGCCGTTTTAATCCCCACTGGTTCGGCATTGCGGAGGTGGTGCACGGGAAAGATGCCGTCACCGCCTCCAACCACAGATATGCCGCTGTTTTCTGTTAGCCTGCAGGCTGCATCACGCCCCGTTCAAATCACAACTCTGGAGTTCTGACGCTGCTTCCTGAGATGACCCGTGCTCAGATTGGTCTGCCGTAAACTGACCAGAGTAAGTCCAGATGCACGGGCAGCAGTCTGTCCTCCTCCACTGCCCTCCATCCAGATGTTATGGGGTCAAAAGCAGATCTTTAAAGGGAGCTGTCTCTAAATTTAGCACTTTGTGTGACATAAGTCCGAGTCACTGAATGTTGGCTTAGCGGAGGTTCAAGTTTTAGAATTTATGAGGCGTTAGGGTTAAAAAAAATAATTAAAAAAAATAATAAAAAGAATTTATGAGGCGTCACAAATGGGGAAAAGGATTAAGAGCAGACATACAAGCGGGTCAGAGTTTCTGGACAGAGACACTAAAACGCGACATGCTGAAAGCAGCGATGACTCTCGGTTTGCAGCGGCTGCAGCTTCGCCTCCGATCAGCTCCCGAAATTATGCTGATTCAGCTTGGTTTTTTTTTTATTTCCAAGAGATCCAAGGTCGCACCTTGGCAGCTCGGCGATGACCCGCCTCATTACCGTGATAAGATCACTTCCTGCCGCATAAGAGAGGGGAGAGTATTGTTAATAACACAGGAAGTCCCACGCATACCTCACAGGGTGCGGCGGAGGGGGGGTGAGTTGGCGTTCGCCGCAGTGCACGGCTCTCCGCTTGGACTTTCACAGATGAGACAAGCTCATATCAGTTATCTGACCGTCTATTGGCTGACTGCAGATCGGACAAAGAAAGGCCTACAAATAATCTCTCTTTTTCTGACCATACGTTACTTCCTCCTCGCTCGCCTCCCCCGCCTGCTCCTCATAGTGGTGCAAATGTGTCACATGTCTACATTTAGTGATATGAACGCTCTTGCACAAAAGAAAAAGTCTGTCATCAAAGCCCACAACCCCCTCGAATTGAATGAATGGATAAAACGAGAAGCATGAGCTGTACTGAATGTCCAGTTCTGCTTGGGAGGGAACAGCTTGGCTGCAGATTTAGGCGTCAGGTAAGAGCAGCCAATGCAAAACACCTTTTAGAGAAGAGCAGTAAGATAACAATCTGCAGTTCCCGATTGTTTAACTTCAAAGTCCAGCGCGCCGTCTTCAGTCAGCGCCGCCAGAGCAATAAAAGTCCGTGGACCTGTTTTTGACGCAAGAAGAAAAATAGCACCATCCTGAATGGCTGCAAGATGACAGCAGTAGCTCTCTGCGTGTGCACACAGACACACCGCAGGCCGCGCCAACAGGACAGAATGTAAACAAACACGGCCCGGCCGCCGGAGGTGCGCCACCTGTATGTCGCCGCCAGAACAACGCCACGCCGATCGGACAGACGGCAGCAGGAAGATTCCCAAACTTTGCAGAGCCCGCGTCAGGGTCTCACTGACTGCACGGGCTGGATTTAAGCCCGAATCGTTGTCTTTTACTCTCTAAACCGGGACGATCTGAGGGCCCGAGCTCCAAGGATGTCTGGCGGAAGCGTTCGGTTGTCTGCTGCCATCAGAAGCTGCAGGTTTAAACTAGTCATCAGGGAGGAATTTTCAGCTCCAAAACACGACTGATTCCAGCCGCTGAGGGGAGCTTGCCCTCATTAGCTTCTCACAGCTAATCAGGATTGAAAAGTGGAAAAGTGCATCCTTTTTTCTTTCATTTCTGGACATTATGAGGCGTGGTATGGAGCTCTAACCTCTGCTTTAGGGAAACAGAAACAGATCCATCTCTAATCAATCTATCAGAGGTCAAGCTGCAGCCCTGGGGACCGTTTTTCCACCGAGGGGCCTCAGTGTGGCTCAGCGAGCATTCATCTTCTGGTTGCTGTGAACACTCTCAGGTTTGGAAAATCAGTCCAGATAAATCCGCTTATCTTTAGTTTGGCAAATGAGCCAAAGCGTCAATCATCAAATTAAATGAGTGTCTGTGAGATGCAGCTGTCCTTAATGTGTAAGGTGTTTCTTTTCTGCAGTATTTCAGAGGCTCACACTCACACACAAACACACACACACACACACACACACACACACACACACACACACACTCCGCCAGTTCTAGCTAGGTGTTGTTGAGTCAGGCTGCTGCTGTTTGCTCGGAGGACCAAAGCGGGGCCGACGGGGCTCTTTTGTTTCTTGCGCGCTGTTTTAAATAGCACTTCCTGTGACTGCACGACCCACGATGCAATGCAGCAGGAGCCCCGCTGCACCTCTGGCGCAGAGGGCCTTGTTTGTTTAGGTTGGTCAGAAGCCCACTGTCCTCACAGCCCGGTCACACAATCCTTTATGTGTCAGTGACACCGTTTCATCCTCCAAATCACTTCCAGTTCCAACGTGTTCAGGATCAGGAAGCGAAAATCTGCAGATGGTTTTGAACCACCTGGCTTGACCGTTACCTGGGTTCTGAAACATCTGGACGACCTATAATCAGAAACAAATTTCAAACTCTTCCTCAAAGGCCTTCTGTGGCCTTTAACGGACACTGAGGGTCTAAAGAAAGCAGAACAAAAATACAGCACACCTTTTCCTTGACCGTTGCTGCCAGAGGAAGTGAACCCTCCTCTTGCTCTCGCTCCGTTGAAAGAAAAAAAAAAAAAAGAAAAGACAAAACAAAAAAGTGTTTCCATGCTTCTGAGAGCCTCCGCTGAACAATGTGGAACAATCAGCCTGACTTTTCGTGGCCTTATTTGGCAGCCGCTGATAAGTGAGGCCGATACTGTTGTTGCCGAGCTCCTCGGGATGTGATGTCACTGATCTCCTGCCCCCTTTTTCTGGTCCTGACGTCCCTGAGTGTGATGGCAGTCTTTTGTTTCCAGCTGTTTTTTCCAACCTATATGTCATAAGGATGTTGGCGGTTGCTTTTCTTTGACCCCCAAATATTTATTGGACTCCTGCTGAGCTTTAGTTTGTCCCTCCGTCATCAGGCCACTCAGAGAGGGACGGTTAATTAGAGGCTGGCACCGACTGCCTTTGGGCTAGTTTGTCATTTTAAAGTTCACCAGCGAAATGACAGGCTGCCATCCTGCCTGCACTGATCTCTGCTAATGAGAAAGAAGGAAGAGGAAGAACTCGTTCTGTCAGTCGAGGAGTTTTGCCAGTTTAGGTGTCCGGGCATGGTCATTTAAAAGTGAGGCCAGAGCCTTTTCTGCATTCTGTGTATGGTGATCAATGGTCAAAGTCAACAAGATATTTTATCCAAAGCATTTCATAGTTTAGTTCCTGATGACTACGAAGAAATTCTAAGGTGTTTGATGGCTGAAGCAGCTTCATTACTATTAAATAACGTGATCAAATCTAAAGCTGAGCTTTGAATTTGAAGTCTTCCATCTTTGTTTGTGAGAACCTGTTCATGCCTATCTCTCCCGTCTCGTCCACAGACCTTTCAAAGAACCGACTGGCCGAAGTCCCCACGGAGGTGTGCCACCTGGTCGCCCTGGAGACACTAAACCTCTATCACAACTGCATCAGGACCATCCCGGACAGTATCATCGGCCTACAGTCGCTGACCTCGCTAAATCTCAGGTACACGCGCCGCAAGGGCCGTTTTCTGCAGGGGAAAAGTTCAGCTGCGTGCCAGTTCCAGAACCACTGAAGCCAGATGAAGTAAAACTGACATGATTCAGACTGTGTGTTCATATGGACGCATTTTGGGTCTTGTGTGTGAGCTTCCTCCGCTCAGTCGGAGCTATAGACACACAGCCTGAGTCACTCTCAGCTTTCCAAGTGTCAGCACTCACAGCTGGTGCTCAGCGAACTGTTAAATCTAAAACCTGAAACACACACCTGATGCTGAGCACACACACTGCACCAGGCGCTGTCAGGCTGCGTTTAAAGGTCAGGGTGCCCCCCGTCGTCCTTACTGTGTCATTCCTGTGTCATTCCTGTGACTCCAATACCACCAGAGAGCAGATTCATCCTTTGATGTCTTGTTATATGAAGCAGCCACTCAAAGAGTTGCTAAAATCTCTTTTATCACAAACGATTTACGAATCAGGACATAAAATCTGGTGGAAAAAATACAGTTAAACTACAATTATAAGAATTATTAGATGTGGTCAGCTGTTTATTGTTAAGTCAGCACTAATTTCACTAGTTTTGCAAGTCTTTTTATGCACAGAACCACAATACACAGAGTAAAATATACAGAAAACTAGACATTCAAATAGTAAACTGCTCATGAAGTCCAGCTGTAAACGGTACAAAGAGCAGTTGTGATTTAAAACACAACAGTTGCAATTTTAACTGAATAGTCTTCTTTGATGGTATGTTTCATGTTCTTTACATATTTTAAACACATTTGCTTACAAAAGGCCACATTAGGAAATTAACAGATCAGCTAAGATAAGCTTTTCTGATGGAAATAGAGACAATAACACATTTTTAAGCAAAGCTTGTGGTCATTAGTGTCATAGCTCTGGCTTTAGAGCATTAATCGTTCTACTTCGTAACAATGTGGAAAGTTGTACAAACGTTGGAATAAACTGATTACCAGCCTAATGGATTTTACCCCCCCTTTTTTTGTAAAAACTTTTCAGGGGTTTGGAATTTGTTTTGTGTCTCTGTCCAGCAAAATTTCCAATGCAGAGCTTATTTATCAACCCTGTTTCATTACGGTCAAACAGATTGTTTCTTCCTAATGAAGAAAGACACTAGAGTTATTCTGTAAGACTTCAGTTATAGATAATGAAAATAAAAAATTAGACAAAAACAGAAAAGATGCAGGCGAAAAAAAAGTTCTACACATAAATGACAATTGAAAACAACTTTAAAACGAATGAAATTGGAGGCAGATTATCAGTGACTTTGTGTCGGCTGGAATTCATTTTAGGAAAGGTTCCTGATCAGAGTAAGGAGACATGAACGTGATTAAGCTGGTAAGGCAGCATCTAAACATCAGTGGACAAAACTCAGCAGCGTGCATTTGTTGAAGTTGTTTGTGTGAGACATTGGCTCCTGCGGGGGGTTTCTGTTGACTTCACCAGAGTAAACATTGAAGTTTGAATAGGAAATCTAATTATCCTGATTCTGCCATGCACTCACGGTTCACCTCCACATGCATTATTAATGCCGCAGATGAGGGCTCTGCGGTTAAAATATTCATATGCTGTTTAAGCGGGCTCATCGCTGCCCTTTCATTTCATTTTATTTGCTGCTGGCTGTCCTGATATGTGCATTTGTTTTTTCTGCTAAATGTAACATAAGAAGTGTTTTTTTAACCTCTTCCGACTGTAACTGACCGCCGCTTGGTTGTGGCGTCCGTCACGGCGTTGGTTAAAGTTGGAATATTGGCCTGGCTGCTCCATGTGTGTGCGTGTGTGTGTGTGTTTGTGCTGCAGCCGGAACCAGCTCGGCTCCCTGCCGGCCTGTCTGTGCGGGTTACCTCTGAGAGTCCTCAACGCCAGCAACAACAAGCTGGTCAGCCTGCCGGAGACCATCGGACAGCTGCACAGCCTCATGGAGCTGGTGAGACCGTTCGTCCCCGTGTCGGTGGATTTCCTCCACCCCACTGCTTTTCACAGATTTTAGCACGTTTTTAGTTTCTCCGTTTCATTTTAAAACCAATTAAATCTGTTTCAAATGTTTTCTTCGGAGTGTTTTTTGCACCGAAGGGAATAAAAAAATGTGAACGAAAACATGTTGTTGCTCTTTGGTTATGAGAAATCCCTCCTCGGCTCGTAACTCCGGCCCTGTTGTGCTCTCTGCAGGACATCAGCTGCAACGAGATCACAGCGCTGCCGCGTCACATCGGCAGGCTCAAAGCCCTGCGTGAACTGAACGTACGCAGGAACCTTCTCTGCGTCCTACCGGAAGGTGAGTCTGCTGCGCTAAAAAACGTCCCTTTGAGGGACTCAGCTGAGCCCTCAGGAAGCCTTGTAATCAGTCCTCTACGTGTGAGCCTCACAGAGAATTCTATTCTAGAAACTGTCATTACTTTTATCGGGTGGAGAAACGGGAAGTGTAAACTGCAATTACTGAAACTGAGCGGAGTCCCCCGAGCTGTGTGCATGAGGATGCTGCTCTCAGACCACAGTGTCCTCTGTGTGCACTATCCCACCCATCCCAGTGCCCGAAAATACACCAAGCCCTCAGCCTCACCCTCAGAGTGACCCCTGACCCTCACAGAATTCCCAGAACAGCCAGGAAAGCTGGGAATGAGCGAGATCCACCAGCGTCTGGAGCTCATCTGAAGAGACTTTACCCACCGACTGAGTGTCAGGGTGCTGATCTGCTGGGGCTGGGGGGGGGGATGCAGGCCCATGGCCGTAGGGCTGCCAGCTAAAACCCCAGAGCAGCTGGAAATAATGAGTCCTGAGAGTTTATGAGAATTGTTCTCTCTGGATGGAGTACGTCATACCAAGGTCTGGTGAGGATCCAGAGTAACGACAGCCCCCCTTTTACTTGTTCCTCTTCATCCGATTTCAGGGTTGGAGTCAAAGGACTGTTGTCTTTTAGTAACCCGTCAATAAAACCACACTCGGCTCCTTCCGTCTCAGAGAACAGCAAAAAATGCGACATGCTTAAATCTCATGTTTTACGCCAGCAAGTCACCCACAGTGAATCATTCAGTAATGAGCTGCCTCTCAGTGGCTGACCGCCTTGAAATCCGCATTTTACCAGATCTGTCCATTTTTGGAGCTTCTGGTTATTTCATGTCATCCTGTGCATGAGAACAGTCGTTTGCATTTTTTCACAGTAGAGTAAAATCCGAACCAGCAGAGAAAGCGTTCCAACTGACGCAGGACTGTTTGAACATTTGAGCCTCAGATGGTTTTAGGTTTTTGGTTTGTTTTATCCTCTCTGTTTAGTCATCACATTTCCCCTATGAAATATGACTCAAAGCTATGTTATTTTTTTAAAAATCATTATGTCAGACATCCAACTGTTGCGGCTCCTGGTTTGATCATGAGATTGATATACATTCTTTTTTCCATTATTGTGGGGATAATAAGAATGACTCCAACCAATCCGGCCGTGACTATTTTCCAGTGGAATAGCTCAACAGAAAAGAATACTTGGAGCGGGAAAAAAATCTGAACCTTTGAAGCCTCTCGGCTTCAGGGTCAGCCGCTGACTCAGACATCGCTGATAAGTTTAATGGAAATTTGGCCGTTGAGAAATAGCGTTTCTTGGCTTATTCGTGCAGAGCTTTTGTGGAAAGCTCAGGCATTAAGAACACATGCTGCTGGCATTCTGCAAACCCTCTTTAACGGGCCTGTTTTAGCCTCGTGGTGCTCTGCTCGGAGACTGCGAGCTCCCTCCAAACTCCCACAAACACCACGATTCGCACGGAAATTGAAGGAGCTATCTCTTGTTTTCTCCTCGTTAGTACTAGCCAACACACCCTTTATCACATCATTCTTTCAAGGCAGACAAAACGCAGCAAATCTGCTTTTAACGCTCACATAACCAGCCCACGGACATCCCTCCTCTCTTCTGGATATCTGACCTCTTACACTATATTTCCTGGTTAAATAATATAATGGCGTGTGTGTTTTTTTTGTGGTGTTTTTCCCCTGACAGTCAGGAGCATTAAGACTTCCCGTCTTTGTTGTCAGTTGTCCAACGTGGCAGTGGGTCCACGATAAACAGACTGGAGGACACAGAGTCGGGCTTTCAGAGAGTCAGAATGATGAATGCTTCCAGACTGTTTACAGGAGGAATCGTCCAGCTGAGCCCTCGCTCCTCGACCCTGTTTGGACTCTATGGCCGTACTCGGCCAGCTTGGCATCAGCTGGTCCCTCGGCGTTCTGACCCTCTGACGAGTCCCTGGCTCAGCAGTTTGAGGCCACAGGACGGGGAGGCGGGCACTTTGCAGACTGGAAAGCAGCCCTGACACCAAGAGAGATGTTGATTTCTTTTCAATTTAATATCTGTTGAGCGCACATCAGATTCATTGCCACCCTGAAAACACCCTGAGATAAGACCACCAGCACTGTTCTAGATGGTTTGGATTCAGTAGAAAAAAAGAAACCCACAGATTAATCTTCTTTCCTGCTGCCAAGTTACTATTTTTCCGTTTCCTACGCAGAACAGCTTCAAATTTAACCAAACATTTGTCTAGACTGACCTCATAGTAACACGATTTTTTAGGTTATATAATCTCTGGGATATTTTTATCCTTGACTCACCAGATGAATTCATCCCGGTGTCGCTGCCCTCTCCATCACGGCTGCTTGGCCGACACTACCGTGGCCCGCATGTGGTTTTAATAAGTGGTTTGCACCGATTACAGCGCACCCCTGCGTCATCAGCAGTCTGCAGGCCGTTTCCTCAAATGGTTTCAGTCCACAGACCTGCACACCAGTCTGAGCCCAAACGCTGAATAAATCATGCAAACACACGCTCTCATCCAGTTTTAAAGGGAACGCTCAGAGAAACTGCTGCCGCTGTGGTTTACAGCATTAAAAGGACGCGTTACAGCCATTTGGAGGAAAGACGCTGCTTTGTGAATTATTCTGCAAAATAGAAACGTCCCTTTCAATTTTCTACACTGTTCTGCTCCACTGCGAATGATCCAGATCTTTAATCGAATCGTTTATAGGCCCTCATTATCTGCCATGTGTGTTTTGGTCGAACATCAGCCTGGTGCAGTTTTAGGATGTTTTGTTGAGCTTAACGGGGAGCGGAAGCGGCTATCAGGAACCTCAGAAAAGAACTCCAGCACTCTAACTGCTGGGAAACGTGTTGGCGGTTCGAGGCCGACTGCTAACAAAATCCCTCAGTGGATTTAGAGCTTTTACCGGACATGATGTATTTATGGCCCATTAATGAACTCCTGGAGTATTTTAAGGTCGACTTTAAACGTTACAGGGCTGTTACGGAACATCAGCACACACCGACTGGTCCTCACACCCAGAGACAGTTCAGACAGAGAAATCCGCTTTAGTCCTCGTTGTTTATTAGTGTTTTTTTTAAGTGTGTCGGGATTTACATATATATTTCATTATTTACTGACCCTTTTATCGGATTACAAGTTAGAAGTAACAACATTCAAGCTCCAGTAAAGTACGAGGTCTCGATCTTCTAAATCTACATTAATCTTTGAAATGACTGTAGGAGAGGTCCAAAAGTGCAGAGTTGGGCATGTTGGAGGGACTGTCTCAGCCAGAGAGGGATTATGTGAAGAGACAAAGTGCCACGAGACCGTCTGAATCCACGGATGAGCTCGAGCAAATCATCCAGAACCTTTTTTTTTGTTCCATAAGCAGTTCCAGAAACATTAACTTAAAAAAGCTCCAAAAATGTCAGGGAGCCCTGTGAGTTGAAGGTAATCCAGGACAGTAATTTGCATTTCCACAGCAGGAGAAAAGCTCCAGGAAGATTCAACAAAAAACAAATTGATCCGGCTCAGTCTCAGATTTCCTCCGAGAGCCGAACAACGCCCGGATCATGTCAACCCGTCAGCCGTTCAACTTTCCGGCTGCTCCATCCCGAACGCCGTCGGCCATAAACTGACTCCGACCACAGACTCTTTGGGTTGTAAAACTGCTTCCTTGAACTTGATATACACCTCTGATGGACATGGAGGTGGAGGATCTGAGTTCCAAAAATGTCAACACTTACACTGGGAGCCATAAATGAGCTCAACTAAATCAGAATCGGATAGATTCTGATTGAAAAACACCCGACTGAACCCGCCTTCTCTGTGTGTCCCTCTTGCAGACCTGGCTCAACTCCCTCTGGTGAAGTTCGACTTCTCCTGTAACAAGGTGTCCACCATCCCCGTGTGTTATAGAAAAATGAAACAGCTCCAGGCTCTTCAGCTGGAGAACAACCCGCTGCAGAGTCCACCTGCACAGGTACGCGCACAGATTTCTCTTCCTTTGGGTCCTCAGAAGAGTTTACACCTGTCAGATGAGTACAAATAGAACAGACGGAAGGTTTGCTGCCTACTGTTTATGTAATAATTCTTCCAGAGTTCGGTAAACCCCACGGTCAGACCTCTGATCTCTGTCGTTTTTCTCTGCAGATCTGCATAAAAGGCAAAGTTCACATATTCAAATATCTGAGCATTGAGGCGTGTCGCATCGAGAAGATGCCCGACTCCCTCTACCTGCCCGTCATGGATCGACTCAGCCTATCGCGGCCCACCGCCGGCAGGTGAGTCCCCGTGGAACCCCGTGTACCTTCTTCCTTTTCCTCTCCTCTGCTGTCGCGACACAAAGGCTGAAGGCTGTCTCTGAGCTGTATCATCCCTCTTTGACTCTGAATCACATGAAATCTGGAAATGAAGAAGCCCCGACACTTAGGAGTCTCTTAAATCTGCGGGATTGTTAGAAAAAACAGGCTTGACTCTCCCTGAGTGTCTACAGGCCAATTGCTTTGCTTTATTGTCGAAAACCTACTTAAACCTTATAGTATGAAATGTAGCTTTTCCGTTAAATGCTGACTGAAGTTTTTGGTGGACGTCTTTTTTTTTTTTTTTAAATAGCTCAAGCTATTGATAAGCCCTCACGAGTTTGGCTAAGAGCACATTTCACCATCTGAGGTCAGTGTAGCAGGTTTGGGTCTTTCCTTTAGTGGTGGGGTGTTGGCTGTCCCCGTAAGCCTCCGTGTGATCTTCATTTCTCAGCTCCTCAGTCTGGAGCCAAGTGGTCCATTAGTCAGCTGAAAGTGATCTGTTCGCCCAGTCCTGATGGGCCACTTTTACATTCTGTCTGCCGCCACGGAAGGTCAGTTAAAACTAACCAAAATACAGCCACTGCTTAGTGAGATGTTTTTTGTGATTAATAGATGACAAGAGGAATCAATAGATGAAAAGAGATAAGAATCCCGCTGAATGATGACATGAAGAGACTGATAATGGATCCAGGGAGGATGTAGGAGGATAAATAAAAAAGGTTGAAACGGAGGGTGAGGAGAGCTGCTCAGACCTAGACAACACAGAGAAAAGCAAATCGAAAAAAGGAACAAATCTAATTTTAGCAAGGCCAAGACGCTGTACCATAAAAGAGAAGTTAATGATATGATTGTGGAAACATGACCACACACATCTGTTGTCATTTTCAGCACAGCTTTGATTAGTTTCTTATTCCTTTCAGTTTCGGAGACAGATAATAAATTTGGGAGATACTTGTTTCAGTATTTAGCAGCTGCTTCTGCTGATAACTGTGTTCCAATTTAATTAAGTACTTTGTGTTGGAGCTCATTTGATTTTTGTATATTTGCCACTTTTATCTACTCTCACAAGTCCAGAGCAGCCAGGTTTTAGTGCACAGAAACCTTTTTTGTCATCGATTCTGTATAAAATATGTTGGTTCTAAGATTTATTTAGCTGCTGTTGTCCGTCTGCAAAGGCAGATATAGCACGAACAGACCTTCGTTTCATAAAGAGAAGTTATTATTCTGTAATGATCATTTATGTTAGTTTTCAACCCAGATTCCTGTTCGACAGGATTCTCTGACACAAATGCACTCAGTAAAAATTACATTAAATCTACAATAAATTTAAATTTTCCCATGGAGGAGCGCACATATCTGGGCTAGAGGGCCGTGTACTGAAATGGTAATAAAATATAAGATGTACATGTTTTATATCTTTAAATTCCAATCAATGGAGTTGTCAATGATACATTTTTTGAATGGATTAAGGAAAGAGCAGAGCCGGTCAGGGTGATGGCAGTCGAGTTGGTTTTTAAAGGATTTAGATGAAAACCATTTAAAGTTCACCCTTTAGTCGAGACAGAGAATATTCTGGGCTGAGACGAAAGCGGAATGTGGCTCCTAGAGAAGGAAGGCAGAGTAAACGGAGGTCAGTAGTAAGACGGGAAAAACTGGAGAAATGAAATTCCTGCTGCCTCTAAACTGCAACTGAGTGGAGATCTCAGAGGATGTTAAACTCTGGAGTTTCCGCCCACACAAAACTCTTCCAGCATGTGGGCAGGAAAAAAAACGTTTCTGTTCCTATGTAGAAAAGGCTGCACAAACACACACTGGCTCTTGTTGTTTTCCTCCCGAGCCCCCTTGTGTCATTATCCCTTCTCTCAGCGTTAGTTTCATTTTCGGTAACAAAATAGAAATATAAGGCTGGGGGTCATACGCACACTCTGCTGTCAGAAATGCAAAAAAATGAAAACATGACTATGAAGGAGTGACCCAGAAATGGAGCGCATGAAGTAAAAATGTGGAGCAGCTCTGAGCCCTAGAACATATAGAACAGTCTTGACCCATAAAAAGCCCAGAGAGGAAATAAATTAACCATGTAATGCCCCTCCTTGTCTGCTACTATTTAACACGATTCATTAGATTACTAGTTTTTATTAATACGTTTTTATGAAGCTCTTCATCACCAAAAAGTTCATTTGCTGGCTACACCCTAAAACTGAGGACTTTCACATATCCAGATCCCTTTGAAGACACTTCAGACTCTGTTTTTGATACGATCATTGTTGTTATCTGTTTAACAGTTTCTCTTCTCGTCGTTTCCTCATTAAGGGACATAGACTCCGTTTGAAAGATTTTTCGCAACAAACTGGGTCGCAGGAGCCATTAGGGACTAATAGCAATTAGGTTAGACTAACAAAACGGAGACAATCCACTTGTTAGACCATTAACAGTCCACAGTGCATTAACCCTCCTTCAGGTGTATTACCTTTGATACTTAACAGTCATCCAGGCCATAAAACATTACAACTTTGTCTCTCTTTGCCCCCTTCAGCCTGACTTTTTTCTGTCTATTTTGCATCCTTCCCTAATATTCATCTTTTTTCTCTTCTAATCAAACCTCTGGATTTAGCCTCACCTGCTAATTTTTGCACCTGTTTGCTCCTTTGTTGCTCAGCTGGCCTTTTCAGCCTGTCATCTGGTAGCCGCCGTGGTTCCGTCTTTCTGCCCAAAAGAGCCAGAGAGCTGATGGGATGCCATTTTTATCACTCAATTAAAGACGGTGACCTTAAAAGTAAACCAGATAAGAGGAAAACAGAGTGAGGCTCAGTTTCATTTCAACCTGAATGAAGGCAGGCTGTTGCAGATCATCTCGGCTGAGCGTCGTTCGGTTTGACTTTTTTTGCTTTGGGCTTTTTTTAGGCGAGTATCAGTCTGACTGATATGATGAAGAGATGGATTATTTTTCGGAGAGTCAAGCCATCCATTCAAACGGCACATTTAAGTCGCCCCATGAGAGTCTTGTCTGGATCCCAGCCTGCTCTATCCTGTCCATCTCATTTTATCCGTCTGTGGTGAAAAAGACAGCAGAGTGCTGAAAAACCTGATTCCGTGGGTCCGTTAGATCGGACAGGATTTCCACAGCCACGAGAAGGCAGTCTGAAACAGCGCGAGGGGAGGGGGCGGGAACTTAGGCTGCCTCCCTCAGCGCGCCTCAGCCGCGCACACACACGCGCTTTCAGTGTGTGAGTGTGTGTGTGTCAGGTGTGTCACCTGTGTAATCCGTCTGCAGTGTGGAGGACATGGAGCAGCAGAAGAAGCAGGACAGCGACTCGGGAGTCGGCAGCGACAACGGAGACAAGCGGCTGTCTGCTACTGAGGTACAGCGAGCATGTGGGAAGTCGGATGGCTTAAATCCATTTTTGAATTGGCTTAGGTTTCTGGCTTGTGGACAGATGCGTTTCACTTTCCACTTAGATGTGTTCTCACATCTGGCTTCTTTTATCTGTCCTCCATGTAACCGTCTGACTTCGAAATGTGATCATTTTGTCATAAATATGGTGCTTTTCCTGAAAAGACAAGATATTCTTCGATTTATCTCCACATTCCTCTTCTTGATTGCGTTTGAGATGTTTCAGGAAAAGCAAAGTAAATATGTTTCTCCTACCAGAATATTTACACTGAATGAAGTAGTTTTGTCAGATACGAGGCTCTAGCAGATGAGATGAGATGAGGGAGCATCTCATGCCATCAAATGGATCTAATTTGGATGTCATGATTTTATTCCATTGACAAAAATTATAGATGAAGGAAATAATCTGCTTACTTGTAGCTGAGACAAACAATTGTATCAATAAGTTGATCCACTTATATGACTATTGGTAGATTTTTTAAATAAATGACATCCACATATATTTGTTCCAATAACCTGAAGTGAAGAGAAAACCGGAAAATTTGACTGATTCCTCCCTGCTTTTATTTGTTCACTGATAAGGTGACAGATGTGCAGCTATCTAAGAGGTTCATTTTGAGAATGTAGTGACACAGAAACACTATTAATGCGGAGAATCAGGTGGAGCTTTACTAATTTGGTTCTCTGTGTTTATAGCCGTCAGATGAAGACAGTCTGAGCCTCAACGTGCCCATGAGCAACATCACAGAGGAGGAAGGAATCAGCAAGGACGACTCCAGCGAGCACATCAGCTCCCTGACAGGTACGCGAATGAGTTGTTTCGGGCGGATAAAGAACTGTTTCTGTGAATTAAAAACACAAAGCCGTGTCTGTTAAGGTGCAGCTGAACCACACCTCCGGGTGCTTTAATGGTCACCACATCCTGTTGGACTATGAGCAGCTAACACGCTTAGCAATGCTGTCCAGCCTGTGCACATAGGCTCCGCCCATTGCTTTTGCACAGAGGGATTCTCAGGAGGGGGATTTAGGATGTATGTTTGTCTTTTTAAAGTCCTGTTTTCTGTCTTAATCAGGGCGCCATGTTGATGATATTGTGCACAAACCTTGTTAAATGATGCATTTTAAGATGTACTTTTAGCACTCTGTGGGGAGGTGGCTGACAGTAGTCCAGATGTGGAGCTCCGCCTCAGGTCTGCACAGATCTGGGATGTTGGGTTCTCGTAAAGAAGAGCAGCAGCTCCCCAGTCACCACATTTAAATAGACTTCAATCAGCCTTAATTAGGTTAGAGCCGACGGACGGACATATTTTAAAAGCCGGGCTGAGTAAAAGGAGGGCTCTCGTGATCGTTGTCTTTTCACAGCAGTTTATTAACCACAGCAAAGCTTTTTCTCAGTACGTACACACACTGGACGACCAGTCTGTGGGATTTTCTGAAAGCATAGAATTTTAAAAAGCAATTAAACACTCAAATGTTGCATTTAATCTCTTCCGGCAGTGTCAGCAAGTAAAAGAGGAGCTTTCATACACAGCACAGAAAGGTTTCAGCTATATGTTTAGGGGCTATTATATTGCTAGTATTGACAATGGAACGGGTCAATTCACTGATAAATTCAGCTGCTTTTAATGGTGGAAGCTCCCTACTGCAGTCAACAGTTTTGCTTAGTGTGCCTTCTTAGAAATTCAGGACCAGGAAAAAAAAGAGTAGACATGCAGACTGGCTGTTTGAGGCCTGAACAGTCTGAGGGATGTTGTGCTATCAGAGTGGAGCTGTTGTGGACTCCGTCTGGGAGAAACTGTCCCATATTCAGCACACATTTCACCTTTAAACAAAACACAGGCGCGTTAGTTCAAGACTTTCACAGGTTGCGTCTCCTCTGTTTCAGCCGACCCAAACTCTGACTCCGTGCGCCTGATCGAGGAGAGCCCTACGGAAGCCCTAAAGGAGCAGTTCAACTACAGAGACTCGGCTCTCAGCTCTCGCTTCATCGACTACATCAAGGCAAGCACTCGGGTCGCAGTTTGCTGTGGCTTCGTGGCTAACGCTGCACTCAGATGGAAGTTATGTAACGCCGTTAAGTTCACAGTGTCGCTTCAGTTTAACTGCTTTTCATTTCAGGTCGGGTAAGTCTCGATTTTATTTAAGTAATTAATAACAGAGAAAAAGGGGCTGATATGTAGGCTAAAGGCTCTCTGTGAATTACTCTGCAGTTAAATTAAAGATCAGTAACTCCAGTTTAATCATGAGTTCAGAAGCTAAACCAAACAAAAAAGGGCTGAAATGCTTCTACTGATCTGAGGGATCATTCTAGATTGTGGTACTTAAAGTGCTCTGATATAACATAAATTCAGCTTAAATAGCATCGAGTTTAGGCTTAACCTTTAACTTGATGTCTTTTACTCAATTTGAATTGATGTGGATTCATTATTTTTGTTTGATATTAATTATTAACGACAGTGTTTATTTGCACTTTGCAGTTTTTGTTTCATCGTGATTTCAAATGTACTGAATAGTTTCATTAATTGGCATAAAATGTGTCTTTCATCCACCTTCAGTTAGTGTCTTAAAGAAAGAAGAAGTGACGGGGGGGATGGAGGAAACAGATAAAGGAAGAAATACTGTCACAGTGTCCCTATTGTACAGAGGGGATGGTGGGAACGTCTCTGAATGTGGCCCAAGGCTGGCCGAGGCTGTGGGTCATGTGACAGCTGCGTCTGATTGTTTTTTTCCTCGTGTTGCTCAGGGTCGGACCGCTTCCGACTTCAACGAGCCCCTCAGGATAGAAGAAGACTCACAGTGGCAAAGTGAACACACGTAAGTTGTTCTTTTTCTTTTTCTGAAGCTCAGTAGATTATTTTTCATTTATTTCGTTCCACTTTTACTGTATGTGTGAATCTATGTGTCTGCTGTATGAAAGAGAAACATTTTTCCTTTTTATACACGTGAAAAAGTTGTGAGAAGTTCAACAGTGTTCTTGCGCACCTCCCATTCATATCAAATGTTGTGCCCTCTCTCGAAATGTGGAATAAGATTTCTCTGTGCAGACATTAGAAAATAATTTTATTTATATATCTGATTTATCCACATAACCCCGACAGACCTCTACAGCCTTTTTAAGGAGGTCTTAGAAACCTCTTCATGCTTTCGTGATGACAGCAGCAGCTTCCGTCAACAGTTTAGACCTCCGATAATACGTTTATAAAATACGGGTTCAGAGGGATTTTCTAAATCATCGTGAGACAAACAAAGCCGCTCTTGAACTTCTCATGCCTGCTTTCACACTTCAGGGACTCTTTGCTTTTCAGATCCTCCTCCAGCTCTGCTCCTTTCACCACCACAGTGGATTTACCGTTTGCCATGTATCATTGTCAGCCCTGGCTATGTGCGCTGCGTCTCATTATTTCTATGTGATTACAGGTCAAAGGTTACGGGGAGTACAGAGCTCCACATCGACATGATTAACCAGCTGAAAGAGGCCGTGGAGCTGCTGCAGGACCCCACCAGGTCAGCAACCAGCAGCTGACTTTCACACTCCAGGGTCAGCTGAGGGGTTCTCCATTCGTATCTTCTCACCTCGCCACTGCACGATTTCATCTCGATGTTACTGCTCTAATGAAGGAGTCGCTTTTATGACTCATCCGGCCACGTGACGCCCTGGCCAATCAGCGGCCAGCGGTCTGCAGTAGGCCCACTCAGCCCACATTCCCGGCTGAGTAGGTGTCAGAACTGCAACTATTTGGAGGTGACAGCAGGTCGAGCCGAGCCACGCTGTTCTAGCCAAAAAGCCCCAAATGTGGGACCACTAACCCGAACAGTCTCCTTTTTCACACTAATCCAGCAGTTTCATAGAGCAGCCATTAAATGACCTGAACAAGGGTATTTTTACATTTTTTATGTGAAAACACAACAGAGTGTGACTACCATTCCCAAAAGAAGCTCGCTCTGATTGGTAAGCTCCCCTGAGCGGATTAGGCCACACCCACCAGCCTGACATTTAAACATTTGTTCAGAAACTAATGAAAAACGCAGTATTAGACGAATGTCCCCGAAAGCTTTTCACCGACTGCTTTTCTCTCAAGGCTCAAACAGCTTTACAGTGTAAGGGATCATCAGCAAAGCAGCATCTGTTTTGTGTCGCTTTAAATGTTTTAGGGTGAACGCGGATCAGGACGATCTGTCTGGAGTCCAGCTCTACCCAGTGGAGATGGTCACAGTGGAAGAGTCATTCAAGTAAGGGTCAATGTCTTCTTTCAATGTTTGTTAAGTGTGTTTGCATGAAAAACACAATCTCACCCTGACAATTAAGCAACCTTTTTTCTAAATACAACCCCCCCGTGTCCCACATCTGGACAGGAAACACTGCAGTCAGCCTGCCTCAGATGGGAGACTTAAAGAGATTTATTTCTCGTGTGTAATGAATTGTGTCTGTCGGTTTTCCTTTTTTAGGCCATCTTAGGTTTTTTTTTAGCTAATCTGTGACAGATAAAAATCTCGATGAACAGATCTCTTCCATGAGAGCAAACGATGCTGTAAGCTTGTGTTTTTAATGATGATTTATCTGTTTGTTCCCTGAGTATTACACAGCAAACAATGACCCCTGTATGTGGACTGCAGTTCACAGAAACAGTTCTTTATTAGACCGTCATGATCAAAATTTAACCTGCTATAGGTTGTATTCCATTAGATAAGAGGGTGTAATGTTCCTTCTGTCTTTCCTCAGTGGGGAGGACAGTGACGACGGGGCCACGACACCAAAGGTACAGTGCTCCTAATACCGTCATCCACATAATTTTCTTTATTTTTCAGTTGATACTTTGACAAACGTGGAGAAAAGTATAATAACATGCAAGTATTCCATGCCACTGGACGCCATTCACAGGGACTCAGGTTAAAACTCCAGTTCATCGTTAGCAAGTTTAGAGAACGCTGTCTGAATTTGATTATTTTAATCATTCTCTCTGCCATAAGCGTTATTCTAATCAGCTGCCAGTTACCGACCAGTTAGGGGGACGTGACAGTGGACACGCCATGCAATCCTTCCTTTATGAATATACAAAGCTGCTGAGTTTTGTGGATCTTTAGTGACACTTAAAGTACATTAATACTGTATATTGTACAAATCGTGATTCACATCTTTGTTTTTCGGCTGAATGCATTGGAGGAGAAAATAAACTGTTCTTACTGGGGTTGATTATATCACATATTAAAAAATGCACTTTATCTCAAATTATACTCTACGAAACTCATGATATTTTGATTTGTTCTCTATTCAACATTATAAAAACATGATCTCAGAACTAAATTGTATTGGTTGGACTAAGTAGTGCTAAGCATATTGTTTCTGTCCTTAAGAATGAGAGGTAAAGCCGACAAGCACCCTAAATGTGTGATGCGTTCTGTAGCAGCATGTGGAGGAGAGTGGCTATGAGTTCCAGAAGAAGAGACAGATGATTCTTAAGAAGGCCAGGTTTGAGGCCCAGCTTGCATGCCGGGAGTATGAGTGGCATATGTCGGTCCAGGTAAACGCGGCGGCGGACCTCCGGATGCGGTCCCATCAGAGGAGGCTGTGTGTGTCTCTGTTTGCAGTGTCCTTTGGCTGAGCTTTCCACATGTGCTGCATTTCACCCGGCAGGTTGTCACACGTGTGAACAGAGAGGGGAGACGTTTCTTTACGATTAGCTTTAAATCTGTCACCAGTCATTCAGCAGCTCGTAGAGACTGAATGAAGTCAGGTGTGACGGCGCTGTTGTCAGAGGGAGGTAGAGGAACCACTGGCTGCTGCCCGCATGTGTCGAGACTCATCCGCAGGATTGGCCCTTTGATTTCTGGCTTTTTGTCTCGTTTCTGTAACATTAGTACTGCGTTTTTTATGCTCTTTCTCTGGTCATTTACACCACTGAAAGATTTGCTCCACATTTTGGAATATGTGTTCTAAAAGTACAAATTGTGGTGTTTTTTTTGTCATTGCCATATCTGTATGTGTAAGGCAAAAACAGAGATTTTATAAAGGCTTAAGGAAAGGTTTTACTCATATCACAAATTTCTGAGATGGTTGATTGATAAACAACAGAGAGGTGGGGATACTTGAAAAAACTTTCTCAGAGCAGTTTCTGTGCATTTGCATTTCTCTGTGATGTCAATCATGAGTCTGCGTGTTGTTTTCAAACTGTTCCCATGTGAGAATACTCAGAGTTTGTTCAGTAAATGTATTACAAATGGATTATTTATCAGTTTTTCCTCCCCTGTGTCCTCTTACAAAGAGAGAAGACAGATCTCCGGGTGGTGGGACACCCTCCTTCTCCAGCCCACCGTTTGGATTGAAGCCACGCTCAGGTGAGCACCAAAAATGGGCGATGAGAAACGCGGCCCGTTACTCGGCTGGTTAACCCGTTTCATTTTTTTTATCGAGGGGATAAACAGTACTCTCCACTCCAGGCTGATCTGGTTCCTGTCATGTCTTGAATTTTCAAATATCATGCTTCGATGTGCAAATGTGTGAGCTATGTCTGGCGGACTTTGGTTGGCGTTTATCACACTCCAGCAGTCAAAAAGGCCTGAATAAACACAGTGGAATAATCAGGCTGTCTAAAAAAAAAAATGAACAGGCTGAGTATTGCGGGTTAAATGATGTCAGAGGCGGCAGAAAGATGCTCCGGTTGTGTTTGGTGCAGCCTCCTGGTCACAGCTTGTCTGCTTACTGGGAGAATGATGGAAGCCTGCAGGCTCATCCACTTTTTGTTTGCTACGTTTAAAAGTGCCCCGCTACTCGCTAATGAAGCTAACATGATGCTAACAGCATGTCATGGTGAAGTGTATTGTGAAATGCCACTAATCTTGATTTTGTTTTGTGTTATGTGTTGTCATCTTGTTTTGCTCCTCCTTTTCATGTTCACCTTCTCTGGGTTTTTCTGGCTCCTCGTCCCATCTCCCGCATGATACTTGGTGTTGAAATCACTCTGAAACTGACCTGCCTCCAATTCCGAATCAATACTTGCACCATTGATTCGAACTTTTCCCAAACCTTTTCCCGGTGATCTTGGAATGTTGGTTGTTTTTTTTTCTTGGGATGTGTTCCTGGAATGGCCAACCTCCCTGCACCACACATGCCCCCGCCCTCACTTCCTACGTCTGTAATCACTCCCCCCCCCTTCTGGTTGTAGCCCCGCTGTCACTGCCGTGTTCACCCCCTACTTCCTCTCTAGACCCTTCCCTCCTCTCACAGGCCTCGCCCTTCCATACTCCAGATACACATCGTAGCCATGACGACGGAGACAAACACAGTAGCGGTGAGCCACATTTTTCTGCTACCTGGCCAGTTCACACAAATCTGGACTGAGCTGGTAATCTTTTCATTTCCACGCAAGATTACTCAGAAAAAAGTTTTTCTTTGTGTTTTCTTTATTTTCTGACGGTTCCACAAAGTCTTAATGATCTCCCACCTTCTGATTTCTTTTTACGGGTAATGCTTTTCAGCTTAAAAAACAGTTTCTGTGGTTAATGACAAGAATTAGAACGTCAGATATACAGAATACATAAAAGGTCTTATTTTTAGGATATCCCCATTAGCGTCAGATCTTCAGGTCAGCGATCCGGTGATCAAGCTCGGTCTGTTTTAGTGTTGAGTCCAGATGGAGCAGAAACAGACTCGGCCTGATTGGAAACATCAGGCTGCAGCTGCTCTTTATTGTGTACAGGTGTCCAAACATGGAAGCATAAAACAGAGATTGTGAGTCTGATGGGAGGTACAGATGAAATGTGGTGTTGCAGAAGGCTTGAAAAAGACTTGGCAGCAGCATTGTGGTTAAAAAAAGAGAGAAAAAAAAGAAGAAGGACGTTAAAGAAATGCATTAGATCATTGTCTCTCTTAAGAAAGGACACAACATGCCGTTGGGTCCTTTTCTTTATGCTAAGTTATGCTTCCTCACATCCCTCCTCCTCCCATGACCCGGAAATAATTTCCCCTCCAGCATACTCGAGGACTTTCCATCCCTTAGATGCACGTTGAGGAAACAAGAATGAAAGAAGCTACTAGAGGGTTTCACGGCATGCATTTCAGATTTAGAGGTATTATGTCACTATGCATCATTTTCTCTTTCTTATGTAACACACAGAATAGAAAATTCTTGGAGAAGGCATATGTGTTTCACACATTCATATAAAACTGCTTTCATTTAGTCAACCACGTTAAAGCTGATGACAAATAATGCACATATGTTCATATAATTAGACCATTTGAAATGATGAGCGCTTCAGAGACCTTCAGAGGATTTGTGTGTTTTCGGCCACCAGCTGGTCTGACACTCAGTTTTCGAGTCTCCATATGAGAGTTGGTGTGCGCCCTGATTTCAGCTCAGTGTGAAAGCAGATTTGACTCTAGACCATCTCCTGTTTCAGTGTTCAGGGCTGAGTTTTGTTTGTCTGCGACTCCGTTGCTCCTCCTGTGGGTGTGGAGGCCCAAAGCAGCCACTTCATCTGTAGTTCCCTGGAAGCTTCCTTCTCCTTCCTCCATGTTTCCTTTGTCCTCATGCCACATGTTTGGCTTTACAGATGGGCTCCTTCACTGTGTGTGCATGCGAGGTTGCAGCAGACTCCAATCAGAGAGGAGCTCACCACATCTGCTTTCATCTCCAGCTGTTCACGTGTGTGTGGTAACTGCAGACAAGCAGCAGCCAGTGGTAAAACCTATCTGTGGTGTGTGTGTGTGTTTCTGTGCTGGTGTGATGTGGTCACACACACACACATGCAGAGGCAAACCCAAATGTGTGACGATGAAGTGAGGCCGTAAACATTCTGAAAACGAAAGACGCAAACGCTGTGATCTTCAGCAGAGAAATGGAATTCAAGCTTTTGGAATTGAAAGATTCAGACTGTGGAAAGGCATTTAAGAGAAAACTTTCTGTCCTAGCTGCTAGAACCATTCAGCTGGGTTTGGGTTCTTTATCCTTTCTCTGAACAAATCCTCCACACTCATGCAAACCACTGGGTGGAGCTTATCCATGTTTATTGCTTCATCTTATATTTTCTCTTTCTAATGTCAGGAAATCAATCAAATATACATTGCAGTAAAATAAAAATAAGACAGTATATTTTAAAGTATTTCAACCCCTCATTTAGTTATTTTTTAAAAACACCCATCCTTCGATACATAAGCAAAGACAAACAAGACCTTTCAGTTTTCTTTCACCTAAAAGGGAATTTTTAAAGTCGGCCGGTTTCAGTTGTCAGTTTCAGGGGAAGAGAAACATGATACTGAGTGCTTATCGGCAGATTAAAGGCAGATCTGTTACTGCACCTCCACCTTATGTAGACCATACCGTCCTTTAGAATTATGACTGATATTCTACAGATTACACTACTTTAAAGGAGTGGCACGTCTAAGCAAATATCCTTGAATCTTCTCCTGTTTTCACACGTTTCCTGCTCTATGACAGATTAATGAAACAATAGTTTGGACCTAAAGGCCTTAAGTCAAACGAGAAGAAATAGAAATGAAAACCAAGCATTTTTAGTGATCAGACGAGCAGAGGCGACCCGAAAAGTCTGAACGTTTGTGAGGGAAGCTATTAGAATCAGTGTGTGAACTGTTTGGCAGCTCCGAGTTGCTACAGCATATCAGAGCCTTTTATGGCCCAGCAGAGCCAGCCTCTCAGAGGAGCCTCACGTTTGTGCCTTTGTGAGGACCCACACTGACATTACCCACCTCGAGAGCCCGTCATCTGAAAACCTAAGGGACTTTGTCCAACTCAGACTGGGTTCTAACTTGAACCTTGAATTAGATCTAAACCCACTTTGTGAAGTTCCTCTGTTCATTAATAAAACATAACTGCACAAGTTTAGACCTCAGCTTGCGGGTTTCACTTAAGTTCATCCATGCAAAGCTCAAAGTTGCGAGTCTAACTCTACAAAACTCACCCCGGTCCTCACAAATGCATATATAAAAGCCTTCACACACGCCTGCGTTCCATCTTAAATTCTGGACTCCATCCAGTGGAAGTAGGATGGTCCTTCGGGAACCATTATCCAACGCTTAAAATATAGCTACTAAAAATAGCCACACTCACAAATTTGTACAGAAGAAAGCGCAAGTCATTCATAGTGCAGAAGTTACACACAAAACACATCCCACACTCCTAATATGGGCACTGAGGTTTCAGGCTTCGTAATGTGGCAAAGCACAGGCCAACACACAGAGACAGAAACTTTTCTATCAAAATCAAGATGTTTGAACACTGAAAAGAACATTCAGCTTAAGTTTTTAAGATATATTCTCTGATTGTCAGAGAGTAAAGTTGTTTTTGAACTGATCTGAAAATGCTTTCAGCTCTCAGTGGTCATTCATACTTCAAGGCCAGGATAAAGGCTCAGATTCGTAGTATTTCCATTCTGCGATTTAAGAAATATAAATCACAAGATGCCATTCAGGAAAAGTCTTGTGTGAGATGAAACAGCTGTTTTGTGTCACTGAGCACTTCCGACACTTTTCCTTAACCAGCTAAAAAATGTGTGGCTAGAATGCCTCCAAGAGAGAAATTGACATTGTTTCGTTCTAAACTCTGCACAGCTTCCAGATCACTGCATGTTATTTCACTTTTACATGGCAAATGTCGGCTAACTGACTCCTGATGAGCAGCATAAAAAGACATCTTCACTCTTTTGTCCACACCCTAAACGTGTGCCAATAAATCCTGATGTTTTCAAATGATTGGTGATTTAATGTTATTACAGAACACAGAGGCTAGTATGGCTAAAATCGTTAATCCTGGGGTTTTACGTCATTATTTAAAAAATAAATAAAAAAGCAGGGTGGAATTCCCATCTAGTCCAACACGGCTCCTCCCCCCCTTCTGTTGTCAAACCCCCATCTCTGAGATGTGTCAGGTTTCCTCATAAAGCAGCACCTGTCAGAGGTGGTTGCTCTGCTCTTCATCTTTTCCATGTCGTACAGAGACGTGTGAGAGCGGGACGTGATTATGCGGAGTGGTCTATAATGGGCCGAGTCCTCCGGGAGAGGGGCGTCACACCGTCCATCATCTCGGCTCTTGACCTCATTAGCAGCCAATCGTCACTTTGTATTGATGTGCGGGATGAGAAGCTGGTGTGTGTATTCATTCTGTTTTTAAAACATTCATTTAAATTTTGCTCGGGATGTCGAGCCATTCATTTTTTACACATTTCAGCAGTTTTTTTTATCCATTAACCTTTTTAGCCTGTTTCTGTTGGGGGAGGGTGTCATTCTGTTACTTTACGCTGAGCCAAATGTAACAGAAAGAACAAGATGGGTATTGATAACACATGACATGTTATAACTAAGCCTTCCTCATGACACAAGCTGTCATTCCCTCCCACTCCTCAGCATGCTGTAACACGCCAAAAATGCCAAATCCGTTGTGATGATGCAGGCTTTTTGTGAGATCAGACGACATTTTCTGGTGTAAAGTTCAACCCGTCTCAGGGCCATAACCCTCCTAATCCCACCAAAATAGTATTAGCTGTATCTACCTCATGAAGCACAGTCATTACATAACGTCAAACTGGAAAAAAAAAAAGGAGCAGCTCAGCCTCCAACTGTGGCAGCTTTCTGCTCAGCCTGAAGAATTGTACAGGAACTCAAATCTCATCAATCTCAGGGTTGAAAGAAACATGTTCAAACTCTAAATTGAACTCAAAACTCAAAATTGAAAACATTAATCATTCTTATTGGAGCTGATTCTTTTTTGTGTGTTCTATCTCTTAAAAAAGGCTCATTTTGAGCATAAAAACAGCGTTTTCTGATGACATTTGTAAATTAATAAGCAATTCTGTAGCCATTCATTATTTGTTGCAGGGTCTTTAAAATTTAAAGAGGAATGCACACATATTTTTGCTTGGAACGGAGTTTTGCTTCACCGCATGCGTGCAGGGGCGCCATCAGGCCCTGAGTTGGCAAATATGAACCAACGTACAGTGAAGCGTAAATCATGGGAGGACTGAACATTGACTGAACATTGCATTATTGTTTCAACTGAATGCTTTGATTACTCTCAAGTTATAGCATTTTGTTTTAGCCCAATCCTGCTGAGTGGTTTCTCATTCAAACTTCAGTTTGGTTAGAAAATAGGGCACCTGGTTGCAGATAAGCACCTAGAGCTGGGTTATATTTATGAAAACAAGCCAACAAGCATAGTTTTAAATGTCAAAACAGCGCTAACGGTCCATCTATCAGATGAAAACATGCTAACATGAGGTGCCGCAGGCTCAGTCGGCCCAGATGGCGCAGAAACCCGCGACATTAACAGAACATGATGGAGCAAAGATGTGTTCAGCAGCTTGTAACTTAGCATCTTTTGACTGGAGAGAGAAAACAATTTCTGCCTCACTGACAGCTTCTTTTCCTCACGGTTTCCTTCGGAAAAGCACAGCAGCCATTATCAAACGGCCTGTCGCTCCAATTGACTCCTCTCTGAGTTACATTACCTTTTTCTTATGGACTTCAAGGGGAGGTGAACTCCTTAAGTTTGATGATTGGATGGTGGTTGAATGGATACATGACTGATCTCCAAAATCAAATGGGCAACTAACTTTGGAGAAAGAGAGGGTTCAGCTAAGGAGGAGATTTGGGATTTTTGGGACTATTTCTATTTCCTGGACTTCCACAAGAAGAACCCTTTAGTTAACCCAAAAGTCAGTCTTTACAATTCGAAAACCGGAAAATAGAGATCTTATAGATCATTGAATATTAGTTGCAACATTAGTTGAGAATGTTAGTCATCAGACTCCCCTTCTGCCGCTTGGTCAAAATTAAATCCAGGGCCCAGGAGATGGCTTTGGTCATTGATTTGCGAGTTAGGAGAAATAGAAATCAATGGTCATTTCTTTTCACTCTGTTGCGAACTGTGCGGTTTTCCTCATAGTAAATCAATGGCTTTTAACTGTGGATCTGAACCCCAGAGGACTGAAAGGGATTCAGACTCTTTGGCAGAAACAGAATAGCAGCTGTTTTCTGACTATTTCTGAAGAACAGCTTTTATTTAAAATCATTTTGGCGGCAGTTGATTTTAAGTTTTTGGGTCGGAGAACTCAAAGAAGCCCTTAGTTCTGTATTTTTGCATTTTAAAAAAAGCACTGTAAGAAATGTTAAGCATTTCTGAGAAATGTTAAGCATTTCTTTGGGGTAGTTTTTCTTAACCTTGCCCAGGGTCTTTATATAGAACCCTAGTTCACTTTGGCTTTGTTTCTCCTTTCTTTTACATTTTTGTTTAATTTTTTTTTCATATATTTAAACCCAATGACAATTTAGTTCAGAAAAGAGCCAACATCTCTTATAGGGCACAAGGAAAACAATGTTAAGATGCCTCAGCTCTTATAAGGTGACCCAGCAGCGCCCCCTGTGGCCCCTCAGTGGACCTACATGGATGCAGGCGGTGTTCAGCTTCACTGAGCTGTAAAGGGCTGAATTATGCATGTAGAAAATAGGACAGTAAGGATGTGAATGATTCAGCCTTCAGCCGTGCGTGGTGTGTGGGGGGCTTTCATGTGTGGGGGTGTGTATGTATTTAGCTACCGTGTTTGAAGAGGCCAATCATGTTTCACACTCTCAGCACTCCCACGCACTGTTCAGGCTCTCAGAGCCCGTTTCCATCTGCGTTTCATATCAAACCCCAAGAAAAGCATGGTTACAAATATAGTAAAGGCCCTACAGAGGGGATTTTCAGAAGCATTTTAGAGGTTCACCTGTTGTTCATGCGTTTTGTTTTGAATGTATTGTTGGTTTAAATGCACTGAGGAATATTGAAGCACATCAGAAATCCTGAGGTTTTTTAACCACGTGTGAAAATGAATAAATGAATGAGTATCAAGTGGCCTGAATGCCTGACAGTCACATGGACGCCCTGCTGTCCAGCCTGTTTGAGTGCACATGAATGCTCTCAAAAGCTTTCTGCATCTTTTTTTACGTCAGAATGACTTTTTTTTTCTTCCCGTGTAGAAAAATATGTCCGAACTGAATTTGAACCCAGCTGCTGAAACATTTTCTCACAGGGGGGGATTATCAAAAACTGAAAAAAAGTTTCATTTTTTAATGTTTCAAACAGAAAAACCCAATTTATCTCATTCTGACCAGAATGTATGATTAAAAGAACATAATAATTTATAAAAGATTATGTCAGAATTTCCATTGACAAGATAATGAAATTATTCACCATGATTGTACCGACAAACCCACTGGTCTTATTTTTATTTGATTTTTTCTCCTTGTGTTACTACTATTCAAAGATCCAACATGGTGCACGGTGGCTGTAAACCACAGATCCTTTTACAGAGTGAGCCGTTTTCCTCTCCAATCTAGCGGAGTGTTCCGTCTTTCTTTCTGATGGAAACCGATTGTTTTTGATGAAAGCTAAACTTGCTGTGACCTTCCTTGTTGCTGCTGCAGTGTTCCTGCGAACCCACAAGAGTCTGGAGTCCGTGGATCCCCAGTTCACCATGAGGCGGAAGATGGAGCAGCTGCGAGAGGAGCTGGAGCTCATGGAGCAGCTGAGAGACGTGAGGCCCTCTGCGTTTGACCCTTTCCAAAAACTGACGAGAAACTGAGTGGGATTAAGTGAACATTTCATTTTGATATTTCTGTTCGAGCCAAAAGCTTTTTTTTGTGTGGGATAAATATAAACTTCCCCATATTTTCAGCTTGGATACATTGGTTTTTCAATTATTTATTCATAAAAACCCCATCCAGACTGACTTTATAACCCATTGCTTTGTTGGCAATACCTGCTAATGTCATCGTTTCTTATTTACAATTTTTCTCAGCGTTGGTGGAAGACTGATTAAATTTGGAGTTTGTTTTAGATCTGAATTCAGTGTCTGCTTAGATGAGATCCTCTGTCACTGATCAGATAAGGTTGTTTTTAATCTGCTAAATATCACATATAACAACAGATAAAAAGCAGTTTGGAGGAATCGACACGTCCCTAACTGTCTGCTGACACATTCGAAGGAGACTGATGTCTAAATTATTGTCACTGCAGCAAAAGCAGCTCGCCCGGGAACGTCTGCAAGCACTGCAGAGACCAGATTGAGAGTCTTGGAGAAACAAACCTCATTGTGAACACGCACAGATGTCATACATCTAAAACAAATGTTTCTTATCAGTAATAAACAGAACAGCGAAGACTTAAGGAAACTTTAAGGAAATTAAACTCTTCCTTTGATATCAAAGTCATGTAATTTCTCCTTTTTCTTATCAAAGATAAAGATTTTACTTAAAATGAACCACATATCTGTTTGGGTCCAGACTGCATCAAACAGCCCGCTGTTTTTTATTTGTTTTTTTTTTGGTAGGGGTGTTAAGAATTTGTCATTGGGTTGTCACACCACACTCACAGATCTTCCTCTTTGTTTTGCTCCTCGTCTTCACTCAGAGCATCGAAAGCAGACTGAAAGTCGTCCTTCCTGAAGACCTCGGGACGTCTCTGATGGACGGCGTGGTGCTCTGTCATCTGGCCAATCACATTCGTCCCCGCTCGGTCGGCAGCATCCACGTGCCCTCACCAGCAGTGGTACGTCTCACCCTTCCCATCCAGCACGTCCCGGAGTCACGGAGCGGAGCATTTCACCCGCAAATGTGGGAGAGCTGCGTGTTTTCACCCTTTTCTTTTCTCCACCTCGCCAGCCCAAACTCAGCATGGCCAAATGTCGGAGAAATGTGGAGAATTTCCTGGACGCCTGCAGAAAGATAGGTGTACCGGAGGTAAGACGCTGCCCCAGGAAGAAAGCTCTTTAGCCAGAGTCAAACGTGGCCTCTGTGAACTGGGGGTCGATTTCATTGCTTCTTCCAAAAGTCGCAATGATTCGTGGGATTTCAAGCTAAACTATTTGGGGGAAATCTGATCTGAACCCGGTTTTATTGCTCAGTGCATAAATCTGTCTCAGTCGAGGGGTTTAAACAGGCAATCTTCAGGCTGGAAACGCCCCCAGTTCATTTTATTTTTTTTTAAACTCCCTGCAGACACCATATGATCCTCAGTCAGGTGGTTGTCTGACTAACTGTCGAAGTAAAAGGAAGTCCGACAGTGTCCTGCAAACGTCTCCCTGCTGAGAGGGAAGGGACTGCCCTTTAACGGCATTAGCTCAGCTCATCATTCAAGCTGAAAGGGAGGATGTTTGCAGGACACTAACCGTAAACCAAAAATGAGGGGAAGGCTGATGGTTCTGAGTGTTCAATGATGCCACCCTCATCAGAGCTGAAATCACATTTGGATAACAAAAGGAGCCATCTTTAAAAAAAAATCTTTTTTTATTTATTTATTTTTCTGCATCATAAAGCTCGAGAACACCTCAGCCTTGTCTCAGGATTGGTTTCCCCCCCTCCTTCTTCCTTTCTGCCCCACCGGCTTGAAATTGAGTCATTTAACAAAAAAAAACATTTAACTCTGACCTCATCTCCGCTGTCATGGCTGCGTGTGGCTTGGAGCTTTCTCATCATGACAGAAGTGGTTGAAAGCTGCATCGTCCGACCCTCTGAGCTGCTGGGCTCCCTCATGTGTTGATGTGCTTGTGCGTCCAGACGTTTAGATGTAGCTTTTCTGTGACCTCGTCTTCCGACATACAACAGGTTTATTTGACAGCAGGTCTAAATCTTTGCTGGTACCAACCAAACTCTGACAGTTGGATTCTGTTGAATACAGGGACAAATGTCTATGAAGTCTATCAGGAAAAGTTGAACATTTTGGGAGATAAACTACATAAACTATTCAACTACACGCGCTTGTGTAGTTGAACATCCTCTTTCAGTCATAACTTGTGGCTTTTAGATTTAATTCTTGTCATTAAACTGTTATTAATTTTCCAAAACACACGGCTTTAGTGTTCGAAGCTTCAGGAGTTTTAAGAATGGTGTTAAACTCAAAATATGGATTGAATAGCATTTCCAAAAAGTGAATTTAATTTATCTTATGAAACCTCAAAGAGGCGGTTGGAGGCCCATTTTGAAGCAGGTAGTTATAGTATTAGAAGTGTAAAAAGTTCCTACTGTCCTCTTCTTTGACTGTCCTCAGGCAATCAGTTATATTTTAAATATGTACACATAAATATACATATACATATGTATTGATATATATACTGTATATATATATACCCACACACACACAAAGATGGTAAATGTTTTGTGCTGAAAATCGGGCTGTCTCTTTCTTGCTGTTGTTTTTACATATATGTGTTTATTTTTGTTGTCAAATTTATTTATTTTTGTCTTGATTTACATTCTATGCCCCCTCCCTCCCCCGATACAAAGCTGCCGATGTGTTTGCTTTTTTCTGTAAAGACAAAAAAAAGCACAGATCCGTTCCGGCCTCGGTTCTGAACTCTCTACCCGCTTTATCTCTGACTGCCATCACTGCTTGCTGACTGCTTCCGGCCTTTTGTGTGGACGCTGCTAACTTCTCGTAGGCTGAATGCTTTGCTGCCGGCACCTCTCCAGGCTAAAGCGCTCGCTGTGCTAACGTGCTAGGCTGCTGCACTGGCTGCCCCATCAGCCCCCCCCCCCCCCTCCTCCCCCTTCACGGGGCTGCTTACTGGGAGGGAAAGGGCACGGCTGTCTCCAGGTTTGCAGAGCTGCACAGCATCCTCTCAGTAAGCATCCCTGCTCGTTGCCGTGGTAACCTCTGCCTGCCTCTGCTTCTGACCAGCTCAAACTTGTGACCGATGACCTATGTGTCCACTGGTTAACTTCCTGCTTTTTCTTTCTCTTCTTTTACTTTCTGGATGGATCGAACCACGTCTTCTTCCTGTTTTCCTCCCCTTTTTGTCAACTTTTCTTCTCTTAAAAATTTTTTTTTCTTCTTTGTGTCTTGCTGTTTCTTACTCTGAACTTCTGGTTTTGTTTCTTCTTTTTTTTCATTTAAATAATTTTTCTCACCGAAACGTCCTCTTACTACTTTTTGTATTTTGTTATTCGTCCTGCTCATCCATCTTTTTTCTCACCTTTCTAAATATCTATTGCTCCATCCCTTATTTTCAAAATCATTCAACTGTTTTCTCCTCTTTCTTAACTGTACTCCCATCCTCTGTTTGCTTCCTTGTTTTTCTCAAAATGGATTTGTTTTCTCTTTAACTCGACACTTTCAACACTTTTCTGTCACTCTTTTTTATATTCTTGCCATTCTTCATCTCATTCTTTCATTCACATTTGATCCCCCCTTTTCCTTTATTTGGCCTTATTTTCCCGTTCCTTCCCTAATGGGGGTGCCAGTCTTCTCTCTGTTCGCCCTATGACATCATCCAGTGCCGCCTGCAGCCGGTCTGTGCCACAGTTCGGGCACTTGTTGCCTCGGACGCGACCTTTCAGGACAGGAAGCAGGATGAGGCAGTTTCTTCTCCAAGCCCCGCCCCCTGCAGGGCGTCAGGGACTCGCTCGTTGGTTTCCGTCACAACACAAACTCCACCCCCTGCCTGGCAAATCTGGGACATTATCGGTTCCAGCCTGGTTCACATCCTTTGCCTAGTTTTGCTGTTCGTGGCCTATAGCTGGATGGAGTTGACGTAACCATGACAACAGGCCCCGAAAATCCCGTCTCCTGCTTTTTGTTTTTGTTGCATTTATGTCACAAACGATCCTCAAAATGAAAAATGAGATTGATGTAGTCATTCCATGGCTAAAGTCTGACAGGATGGTGGGAAAGTGATGTGGGCCCACATGGACAGCACACTGACATGTGACTGGATTTAATGAACCCGACCTTCTATCCCCGTCCACATCTTTTCACTAAACTGAAAAAGCTCTCAACGGAGACACTGAAAATGAAGCTACTACATCTTCGACACACGTCCAGCAGAGATAATCACATCTGTGCACGGTTCAGTTTTCCCATCAGGCCGCTGATCACTGCTCATTTTCTGTTGGCTCCAGTTTACCAAGGGCACTGACCTCCGAGTGCCGTCTGAGGGACTGACCATTCCTGTTTTTAAACCCCGTTCCTGTTAAAAATCCACTGAGATCATACGGTTTATGTACATGTACAATAACGTGTAGTGGACCATAGCAAAAAGCGGCCTGTTGGTGAAATGGTAGTGTTTAATTTACATGGATCAAATCTTTAGCCCTAACCTGGTCGTCCAGCAAATAATTGCCAGCATCCATTCCTTTAATAAAGCAGCACTAAGTTCTTATATTGTTTTTAATAGTGTTAGTGTAACATGGCGAGCCGTTTTCCCGAAAAAATTCTGGTAAAGCTACAGGTGAGAATTTCTGGAAATGGATGAAACAGGTTATGAATAGTTTGAAACACAAAATATGTCAGTAAAAAGAGATGGTCTGTTAGTTTGTTTAAACCTTTTATATTTAAATGTTTTTTAGTGTATTCACTGGCCTCTTTTTGTTTGGGAAACTCAAACAAATCTGGAATTTCAAACCATAACTCACTAAACAGGAAGACATAGTAAACATTGTATTAACAAAACTATCATAATCTCTTAAACTGAGGGGCTTTATTACACACAACCATTCCTGTAGATCTATGCTAAGACAAAGGGCCTTCATTTTGCTTTTCCTATCCATCAAAACCTTCATTCTTTTTCTGCAAGCATATTTTTAACCATAAACTGGACATCATCCCCTCGTTCATGTGCTACGATGCTTATTTTTTATTTTCTGAGTTAGCTATCAGCACAGTCCTCAAAAGGAATTCCATCAAATGAAGGCTCGTGGAGCAAACTTTCCGAGTTTTTCGGAGCCATAGATGCTTTGGAGCCAGCCTCCGGTGGCCGGGGATGTTGTACTTAGAGGCCGATGGTCTGAACACCTCCGCTTCAGCTTGAGCCAACAAGCAACGCGTTCTTCCAGAAATTTAACCCGATGTGATCGAGCTCCGAGGAGCCGCAGCACAGCTGCTGGATGGAGCGGCTGAGGCCCCGCTTTATTAAATGTGACAGCTAAAGTTTGAAGATATCATGACTCTCTAGACTTTTGATGTGATCTGAGCCTGACAAAGCGAAGACTTCCCCTGTAAGCACACCTTTGCAGCATGGAGACATTGACCACTGCAGAGCTGCACAAACTGTATCTGTTCTTTTCTGACATGTGATTGGACACCAAGTGGATGGTCACCTGAGTCTGTTTTAGCGCATTTATTTCCTTTAATAACAATTTGAAACTGCAGTTTTTTGACTGTGACGTTTTGAACCATGAGAAAATGTGCCCTTTAGTTCAAGTTTGCTTTTTCAAACCTCTTTTAGTTTGTATTCGACTTCACCCTGATATGCAATCTGACAGATTTTGGAGAATAACTGAAGGGCTACAGAAACTAGATGTGTTTATGAATATATATGACTTTTTAAGATGTCTATCTCAGAGGGTTTATTACGTGTAAGATTATCAAATCATGTTTGTAACGTTGAAGAGAATTCAGACTGAAAGAACGGGGATGTTTACCTATAAAGAGCCGGTCAGCTGACTGGCGGTTGGATGAATTCGCAGATGCTCGGGCTTCACGGTTTGATGTTACGGGAATGGTTTCAGTTGAGTTCCACCATCAGCCTTCAGACAGTTTCCTCTCCATCACACCACTGGATTTTTTCCATGTGTCCACACCCTGTGAAACCATTCAAACAGGACCTGTCTGTGGCATCTAATGTCAGGACCGTCTCTCATTGGCCTTTTCGACCAGCTGAGTCTCCCAGTTCTCTGGTTGTTTTAACGAAATATAAAATACAGGCCCAAATCAGAGGGGAACAAAACCCTTGTGTGGCTGTTAAAACTCACTGTCACTTTCGGTTATGCGGTTCCAGACCTGAGAGAATCTCCGCTGGTCGAAATGATGAAAAGCAGATGCCGTTAAAAACGCCGCTGTGATTTCTCACCTGGTTGAAAACTGAGCTAATAAACACAGTTCAGGGATGTTTTGTCCTCTGAATATGATTGTTTCTTTTACTCTATGCTCGTATAAGCAACTGTTTCTGATGCAACTGTAATCTCTTGAACAAACGGTTATGAACCATGTGATACAGACTCAGTTATGAGTTGGACTCGGTCCTGTTGGTGCTTTAGCTTTGTTCTTCTTTGTAAAAGTAGGAGCAAAGAAAGTTATTTTGTGTGTAATCAATCAACTACAGTAATCTCCAAAGGTAACATGCTGTCCATTCTGTGGATCTCCACACACAAGTTCATCTGAGTTGATAAATGCCTCCATGTCAGTCACTCTGTGGGTTTTCTCCATGGAAGACCCTAATTTCTGTCCAGGTGTCTGTGTCCAGTGCAAACAGCAGAACTTTGAAGTTAGAGAGAGGGACATTTACAGATTCGATTTTTATATTCAGCTCATTGCAACAAAGTGACAGCTAAGGCTTGCATGTTCCAGACTACCAGGGTTTAGAGGAGGCCATCGTAAGAACCATAGAGCCATAGAAAACTCTCAATTAAAAAATGGAGCCAATATGATGTGATAAGAGGATAAACTCTAAAGTGTTGATAGAAACTGAAGAAAAGGCAGGAGACAAAACTTTAGTGATGCCACCACTTGGATTCAAATGCTCCACTCTTTAAGCTCCACTCTTTAGCTTAATTGACATCGTCTTTTTTTTACAGCGTAGCCCAAAAGTATGGAACCTGAAACTAAACAAAAAAACATAGTTAGAATGATATTTATTCCACAAAGCAGTGAAGACAATCAAAGCTTTCTCTCAGTAAACATGCACAGCTCTATTTATAACAATGTGTCTAAGTCCTGTGCTGTCTTTTGTCTCTTTTGTACATCTGCTCCCCCACACTCCTTTCCTTTATCCCCTCTTTCGGCTGCCCCCCCCCCCCTTCATCCCCTTCTCCGACTCTCTCAGGACAAACTGTGTCTCCCTCACCACATCCTGGAGGAGAAGGGCCTGGTGAAGGTGTCCATCACGGTGCAGGCCCTGGTGGACGAGGCCTCCAACAGACACCCCCTCCTGACATGAGGTCCTGGGAGCCTGGAACCAGCCGAGGCCTCCAGCAAACACTGCAGTCCCTCTGAGCCCCCGTCAGAGTGTTTCTATTTTTGTGTGAGGATGCAGAAAGGGAACGCGGCCCGTCAGAAGTGGATTCACTAACTAACGCATAAAGGGGAGCTTCAGAATCATGACAAGCAGGCGGGAGGGAGGTCGGCGTCTGAGAGGCCGTGGCCAAATTTGAACCTTTAATCGTGTGTTTTTAGATCGGTTTCAGGTGGAGGTCGGCCAAAAATGAACTCCTTTTATTCAGGTAAACTGAACGGCATAAAAAGCAACTCCATATCTGTTTGTTTTTTTTGTTTTTTTGGCTTGGTTTAGTAAATCTTAACACTGGCTGGTACCGTAGCTATTTTTTTTTTAATTAGAAAATACAAAAGCCATTAAGACGTGGAGGAGTGAGTTTGAGACTGAAAAAATTATTCCTTTGAGGGAGTTAATGAAGCATGAAAAGATTTGATTATCTGAGAAAATTTCTAGTGTTTCAACAAACGAGTGCAAGTGGGAAAAGAGTTTATTCTCAGTTCGATACTTTTCGGGATCTCACCGTTTCTTTAGGCTGATTGAACTGAACTAGCTTTAGACTTGTTGCAGCTGTTTGCTGATCACGCTGTCTATGCACACTTCATTTAAGCAAACTTAAATGATTTTCTAAACTGTAGTCAAACGAGAGATTATTTTTTTCCTTCTAAGGTTTTAGGTGAAGTGTTTCTGCTCTGAGTTTTTTTTTTGCTCTCGGTTTCCCGAAGAGAATAGAACCAAAATACTAAAGTCTTACACGGAGGCGGGAGACAGCTTTTATCTGCAGTTTATATTTAAACCTGAAGATATTTATAATGTAAAGAGAATCTGATTTGTGATTTGAGTTGTTGTATAGAGCCGAAATGAAAAAAGCCCAAAACTATTTTTCTCTAATATATTTTAGGTATAATGGTGTATGTTTTCTAAGGTTATCCTACTTCTGCGTGGAGCTGTCTGCATGTCCCTGCCTCGGGGGGGGGGGGGGGGGGGGGGGTGTGTGTTATTCTGCCACCCCGATCCGTGTTTCAGGTGGAGGGACGGGAGACTTTATTTGGTCCTCTTCCTTTCACCCGTGTTGCTCGTTCACTGAATTTGGACCTGAAGGACTTTGTCAGTGACTAATCGATTTGTCTGTGTGAAATGCAGTTTTTTTTTTCTTTTAACGTGCCAAACAAGCAAGACACCTGTCCCTGTGTTTCTTTGGATGTGGATGGGGCTATTGGATGGACTAATGAGAACAATGGCAGGGGTCCAGTTTAAAGCTAATAAATCCAATTTATCAAACTCAAAACAATCTCTAAGAGACTAAAGGAAAAGCTAATACTGATATAAAGGCCACAATGAGTGAAATTTCTCATTCGGGGGACTGGTTTTAATCCCCAGGGGCCGATTATCTAATCCTTTATCCACAGTTTGAAACACTTGATGGTGTTCGGAGCTGTGGGTCAGACATTTAGCGGTCGTGATGAGGATCTGATGTTCCTGACCCTCAGCTCCAACAGCCGGGACGTGTGGGGAAGTTTTTATCACTCTGATTTTAACTGCTGAGTTTTAAAAGCTAGAACACAAAAAGGACTAATTCTCAATGCTTTCCGGAGTGAATTTGAGGTTAATGTAGCGAAACGTTCCTCTGGCCTGCTGACTGTGCAAAATCTGTGTGTGTGTGTGAGAGAGAGGCGGTAAATGTTGCTGCGTGAGATTACAGACTGCGTGACTCAGGGTGGGTTTGGTTTACTGCACTGTGGATGCCTCGTTCCAAAGTGTGCTACATCGACAATATTTGTGTGCGTGGTGTCTGCGTGTGAGGCCTTTTCTTTTAAACCGCGTGGCTGTGCAGAGCCATCACAAAGCCAGATTTTAAAGGGGCAGTAGGTTGTGTCCATAATGACATTCTGCCACGTGATTTGGTCTTTTTGTATCACTTCAGTTCACCTGATCAGAGATCAAACACATTATTTTAGCTCCACCATCGAGCATCTGTGTCTAAAAGTTTCTTTTCTGTTCTGTTTCAGCTACAAGCTGCCTGAGTTTAGACCTCCTTTTGGTCCACTAAAGCCCAGCCGGCGGGCGTATTTGTCTTTTATCCACCCGCATCCTGTTTGAGGTGTGATGGTAGCAGAACACCGCCTCCTACAGGTAGAGTTCTGGTAGGTGCACCTATGAGCCAGAACTGGGGGGGAAAGGTCAGAGCTGAACGGCGCATGTGTGTGTGTTCAATTTGAGGGGTCACAGTGTGTTAACACCCTTGTGATTGAGCTGGTGGTCCAGCTCCTTCGTGCTGTTTGTAAGCACACGTTAATGTGACGCCGAGATCCCTACAGGAACCTAAAGGAAACACGTTTTTTGTGCACTAAATGAGTGAAATGAACTTGTTTACCAGTTAGAAAAGTTGCACTCCTTTTGTTTCTTTTCACTCTAGACTGATTACAACACCCCTAAATCCAAACATCTTTAGAAACTGCGTTTATGAGGTGCAATGAGATGGCAAATAAATGAGCGTACTGCCCCTTTAAAACCTGTCAGAGGTCAGGCTTCACTTAGTTTGAATGAGAGGGTGTGTGTGTATGCATGTGTGTGTGTGTGTTTGTGTGTGTTTCTGTGCAGCTTGATATCCAAAGCTTGAGCTACTTAACGATTCAGCAGGAAAAGTAAGAAAAAAACATAAAAGGAGTAGACAGACATAAAAAGTTAATGCTTCCACTGGATGGATTTAACAGTTGCCAAAACAAAAAAAATCTCCCTCTCTTGTGAAAAAATGTTTATTTAAATGTACTATAGTTCTGTACATATTATTTATCTCCAGGATTTCTAGTAAATAGTTTGTCCATGTACTGTATTATTCAGCATAAAACAAAAACAAACAAAAAAATCATGAATGCTTGCGTATTTTAACACTACAGGAGACATAATTCAGTATAATCATGTCACCGATGGTGCTGTTGATCTCTATGAACAGTATTATTTCTTTTTCTTCTGGCCAAAATAAAGGAAAAGCTCAGTTTTCCTGACATTTTTCACATTCCTAAAGTCAAACCCGTTCAGTTTAACGGTCACAAAATCATCATGTCGAAATTGTGGGATTCAGCTCCATGATAAAAAAAGGAAGCGTAAGATTTGCTCACGTCTCACTGCATTTCTGACTGATTCTGCACTTTAAACTTGTGTATTTATGACTTTGTTTTGGCAACTGAGAAAATCTTCGATCACTTTTCCAATGAAACGAAGAGCCAGTGTTCCGGTCCGGGTTAGAAATGCGATGCTGGTGTAAATGATATTCCTGCTGAGCGTAAAGCAGCTGTATTATGTTGTTTTTTTTTTGTTTTTCTTTCTTTTGTATGAACATCGTTCCAGAAACGGCCTGTACTCGCGGTTTTTGTACTTTTCTGACTGGGAGCAAATTTATTTTTATGTGACTTCTCTTCAGGTTTGTTGAACTTTCGATGTAACTTGCCCTTTTGTAACTCGTTGTGAACTTTTGTTGTAATTTTGTTGTACAGCATGCATGAAATGTCCCCATAACAGCCTTAACTGCTGTGAATACTGTATATACTGTACTGTATTTCTCATCACTTTATCAGTAAAGACCTCACATGTGAAAAATGCTCTAAGAAAAGTCTGGTTTTTAACCCTTTAGTATCATCATTTTAACATATTTCATATTTGTATAGTCAAAACTTTGGTGAAAATTAGAATTTTTCCATTTGGCATCATATTAAAACAAAAAAATCTGCTGTAATTTCAACAGAAGAGACACTGAACAAACCCGGTCAGCTGTGCCTTTTAGAGGGAATAAAGCTCAAATGTAAACGGGACACAAATGGGCAGTAAAGGAATTTATTCCTACAAACATCCTTCTAACTGTTGACTGAAAGCTCTCAGGTCCAAAGAGACGGTGGACTAAAGATGTGTGACAAACGCAAAGATGTCCCCAAAGTCTCCGTTTCCTGTGAGGCTTCGGGTAGGCTTCGGGTAGGCTGAAGGCAGACGGCCGGCTCAGGCGTTCAGGTACTTGGCGTGGTGCTTGATGTGGTCGTTGATGAAGGAGTAAATGAAGAAGTAGCTGTGGTCATAGCCCTGCGGGGGGAAAAACAGACGGCCGGGTCAAAGGGGGGCCGGGTTCTGGGATTCTGGTCTTTTTTTCGCGGGGACTGACCGGCTGCAGCCTGAACACCACGGGGATCTTCTTCTCCGAGCACACGGCGATCAGGTTGTCGGGCAGCAGCTGGCTGGCCGACAGGAACTGGTCGTCGCGGCCCTGGTCGATGAGGACGTCCAGCCGGGGGCCGGCGTAGGAGGCGGCCAGCGCCGTGGCGTCGTACGCCTGCCGGGGGCGGGCAGCGGAGTCATGAAGATCCATCGGTCAGACTTAACCCAAACCTTTAAACCCTCTAGGGTTGTCACGATACTAACATTTTCACCTCGATACCGATACTCAGGAAAATACTCGATACCATTTTCGATACCACAAGGATAAAAACAAAGACCCCAAAATTGAACTGAATTGTGTCTTTCATTTCAAACTGACCTGTTACTGATGTTATCGTGACTGGTGGCCCACATTAATGACCCTGACCCTAACCCTCCAGCCTTCATAATTGTGAGAAATAAATATGTTTTGGCTAAACTTGTTTGGACTTATTGTACAAACCTATTTAACATCCACTATGTTAACATAATATGTATAGAGTTTAATTAAGTGTTTGGAAGATTAATTTAACTATTTTTAAATGAATGTCTATATTGCCATGAAGCAATTAGGATTTTTCTTGCCTGGAATCTATCTATTGGTAACCTAATAAAAATTGCCGACTTGGATGTGGGAGGAGTTGGATATGTACTTGATTAATGGTAGTATGTTATTATTTGCCATTAGCCGCAGCTAGCAAGGCTAACGTCTTGTTAACGATCATAAACAACGTAAATAAATACATGGATACAACATTTTAGTATCGATACTTTTTCGAGTATCGATACTTTTGACAAGCCTAAAACCCTCACCTCCCACGTGGACCTGTCCGAGCCCAGGTATCCGGAGAACGCCTTCTGACCCCAGGGGCACTGGACGGGGTTACAGATGGGGGCGAACGCAGACACGGCCTGCAGGGGAGACGTCTTTATCAAGTTTGGAAATAAAACCGCTACATCTGGACCGTCCAGAGCGAGTCCCCTTCTGTACCTTGTACTTCCCGGGGTTCTTCAGGGCGCAGACCAGCGCCCCGTGGCCCCCCATGGAGTGTCCGGAGACGGACATCCTGTCCGGGTCGGCGGGGAAGTTGGCGTTGATCAGTTTGGGGAGCTGCCAGAGTAAAAAAAAAAAAAAAGACCTGTAAATAACACTTTCCAGGTGAAAGTTCAGCTAAGGGGGAGCGGAGGGGATAGAAATCCGGCGCACCTCCTCCGTCACGTAGCTGTACATGCGATAGTTGGTCTTCCAGGGGTCCTGGGTGGCGTCCACGTAGAAGCCGGCCCCTGTGCCAAAGTCCCAGCTCTCATCCTCACCCTCAATGTTACAGCCACCTGAAACCACGAAGACCCCCACGGGTCGGTTACAGACACTCACAACCAGGAAACAGGGCAGGCAGCTGCTTTCAAAGTAAAGAAGTCACGACTAGAAAATAACTAAAGGTAAACTTTAAGTTTTCACCTCTGAAGAAACCAGAAACATTAAATGAAAAACATATAAGAGGCTAAACATCCATCTTTTATTCAAGATGACTGATTGAAGTCTCTTCCATTACTGCACGATGTCCTAAATAAAAAAATGTAGAGGTTCCTCTAAACCAGTGTTTTTCAACCACTGTGCCTCGGTACACTTGTGTGCCGCGAGTGATGGTCAGGTGTGCCGTAGAAAATAATCCTATTTCACCTAATTGGTCTAAAAAGATTTTTTGATAGGGAATGAATTATCTGCAAATAATTTTTGAGTGTCTGTGCTGTTCTAGTGACTGGTGGAGTAATCATGCAATAATTCCTTATGACTAGATTTTGTATATAATTTTGCATAATGAAGTGGACATGTTAAGTGCAATTTGAAAGAAGAAATATAAAATATGATAAAAATACATTTTTGTGTTTATTTGATTCCTATTCAATACACTTAAGATAAGATAAGAATAACTATAGTGTTACTATAGGCGGCTACAGATTTGTTTGACATTTTTGGTTGGTGGTGTGCCTCGTGATTTTTTCAATGAAAAAATGTACCACGGGTCAAAAAAGGTTGAAAAACCCTGCTCTAAACATTCGTTATAACGCTGATTCTAGGCACAAGGATCTAAGGTCTGTGGGCTGAGTTACACTGGGGGCAGAAGACCTACGTGGGCTGGTGTCCGGAGCCACGATGATGAGGCCGTGCTCTGCAGCCGCCAGCTGACTGCCAGCTTTGGTGATGAAGTTCTGCTCCGTGCACGTTAGCCCTGCAGAGAAACGCAGAGAGGAAACTGCTCACGCTCTGAAAGCAGGATCACAGCGTTGATCTCTTCCTTTAATTTATATTCGATCCATCTCCCTGCTGAGAGACGTTATCTGTGGCTTTAGAGTCACTGGATCAGCCCTCTGATCAGATTCGGACTCACCAGAGAGCCAGTACATGACGGGACATTTGTCCGTTTCGGCCTTGGGGGGCAGATAGACGGCAAATTTCATCTTACACTTCAGCTCGGTGCTGCAGAGGAAACACAAGCCAGAGAGTTACAGTGATTTCATTTTGAGTGATCAGTCTTTTCGGAGAGTGGGTACTTATTTTGGTGAATTTCGAGTAGAGCTAGGATGATTTCAACCAATAAACGAGAAGTAAATGCAGCTCTAGTTCGCCGTGACCTGAGACTCAAAAGTTTGTTTCTGGGTGTCTGCTGCCAGGGTGCTTCCATCTTCGGAATATGTGAAGCTCCTGGATGAGCCGGATGTGAGGTCAGAGGGGAGAAAACGTCTCACCTTTCATGCTCGAAAACCTTCTGGAAGCCACCGGCGCACTTGTTGGAGGACACTTGTGTGAGGGCCATCGTTGATCTACGATGAACATCAGCAGAGAGAATTACTGTCATCGTTTGAGATTCAGCACACATCATATACGCTGCTACACCAGCAAATACACATTCAAACAAGCCACTCAGTTGTCTAATAACAATCAGAGGAACTATCATGTGAAACATCTTTAAATTGCTTCAAGACAATTTTACAGAAATTAGTTCAGTAAGAAGATCTGATTTCTACTGACATAATTGTTTCCCAGATGCCCTCTGCTGTTCTATCAAATTTTCTATCTGCAACTTGGTTTTGAAATGCAAAAAAAAACAAAAAACAGACTTAATTAATTGACTTTCCTGTTTTCTTTTCCAAATGAATAATTGCATCTCTGTAAATATTATAGGGCATTGGAATTGGAATAATACAATGTTATTTCTGTTTTTTTTCAGAATAGTCATCATAAACAATTAAAGAAATGATTAACTGCTTATGTAAGTTAGTTGTCCATATGTGCGCGTGCCAGCTGCACGAGCCACCTCAGATCTAACTGCGTCCCTCTTTACGCCGAATGGATTCCTGACGTTTTAAAACGCATTAATTCAAAAAATAAGCTAAAGTCACTTTGCATTTACAATCCAAGCACTGCTTCTAAGAAAAAAGTCAAAAATTTGAATTGAGTTTGGCGTGCGCTGGGTGGAGAGGGGGGGCGTGCAGGGATTAGCTCGTAAAGTTAGCTCCTGTGAATGTTACTTACCGGTAACAGCTATTTACAAACGTCTGCCTCGAGTTAAGACACTTTGAAAGTCGTTGCAAAGCAAAAAAACAACCTGAGCGCATGTTCGCGGGTCATACCTGAAGAAATCCCTGTTTTCTGTTCGTAACTGTCTTCTACTTGCTGCTCCGCTCACTTCCCCGCCGCAAGAGCCGTCAGAGCGTCCAGAGTCCAACGACGTAGGGTCAACGTGATGACGTCAGCGCAACCGCCCCCCTCTTCACTTGAGGCGCAATTCCACCAGACGGCCACAAGATGGCGGTGTCGTTCAAGACCCAACAAAGAAGCTCATAATGCAAAGAAAGTTGCAAAGTTTTAAAGTTTAAAAAGAGGGAAGATTTGTCAAACTGGGGATGAAAGGTCTTGGATCAGACTATTAAAGGTTAAAGAAGTATATCTTTGGACATCCTTATGCACTATGGATCTTCACCAAGGAGGGCTCTTAAAAGCTGAGATGATAAGATATTATTAAATTATCTTTTCAAGGGGCAAGATTTTCCCACTTAAATTCAGTTAGATTGTGTTTTTCCCCATCAGATAATGCAATTTTACCCCTGAACTGAAACGTTCTTTTATAAGAACCCCACATTTTTAATTCCTTGTCGCACTGCCTTTTCAGAAGTCACAATATTTGAAAATGATGCTTCTTGTCTTTTTTTGTCTGTATTTTTAAAGATTTCCTCTGCAGTCTCCGGGTGTGGAAGTAAAAGATTTATTAGTGCGCACACTGTGCACCAGTTGTTGTTTGCTGCTGGTGCAGTTTCTTCCTAAATCAGGCCATTTCAGATTGTCTACCCCCTTTCACGAAACAGAAACTCAGTCAGCATCCTCACACTCTCTGTTCTTAACGCGATTATAGTTCTGCCTGCAGCCATGTGGGCTGCTGGACTCCATTTAAAGAGAATTTGTCACACATTGAGGATTTCCTGGTCTCTGTCTCCGTCCGTTGGGTGGCAGCAGAAGACTTTCTGTTCGTTTCCTTTGATGGAATGAGGGTGAAATCACTTAACTGTGTAATTGACGCATGGCCAAAAGTGTAACTTCTTAAAGACTGATCATCCGTCTGCACCAGACTACATCAGTTATGTTTAAAGTACATTTCTACCTCCAGTGAGCTGGTATAGATTTGAGTTTCCCTTGGTTACACAAAAAATGCGGTGAAAGGTCCAGGAAAAACCATCAAAAACCATTGTACATAGTAGTCAATTGACTCAAGTTTATTTTGAATTTTTATGAGATGAGGGTTAATATAGTTAGATAAATTAAGCTATTTTAAGTAATAGTAGTGTAATATCCCTGTAAATTTACAACAGACTGCAAATGCATATTAATGGTTCATTAAAATCTTATAGGATATGACAAGACTACATCACTTCATCATTTTCTTTATTAATAATTGAATTTAATGTGTCATTGTTTTATGAGTTCATTTAAATGCAAATTGAATGAATTTGGGGTTTCTCTGTAACCTAACACTTTGGTCACGATGGAACTTTGGGGGAGTCGGTAATGATTCCAACAGCACTTTCAAGAGTTCATGTGGAAAATCATAAAAATGCTAAATCACCAGAAAATGGTTGAAAATACATCCAAAAGAAACGAGACAACCCAAAGAAGCAATTGCTCTAGAGCAATACAAACATGCATTCATTACTCTCCGAAAATTAGACGAAAAAGGATCACAGTGAGAGAAAAAACAAGATGTTTGTGTCCACATACTGGCCCCGAAACAACAAATTTGATTATATAAAGCAGCCTGTTTTCACACCTCAGTGTTTTTAATGATATTTGTTGTAGAAGGCAGTGAAGCGATGAGGCAGTGAACAATCTGCCTGCTCCTGTCTTTGTCATCTGGACACAATTATCCTCAGATATTAGATTGTGTATTAATAACATGACAAATACTTTCAACCCAACTTAATCGCAATGTGTTAAAGGGACTGATGTTGTGTAAAAATCATTATTAGGTAAACTCCAAATTAACAGAAAATAAATATGCTACAGGAAGCTAAATTAATTGACAGCAAATAATTTTAAAACCTTTTTTTTTAGGGAAACTACTAGGAATGACACTTTTTCTTTGCCTCTGTAGTTCTTTGGAGTTTGGATTGTTTTTTATTTTATGTTTTCAAGGCATTGATTTAAATTAGGGTTTGGTCTGCTTGGATTTTTCATTTTATCGCAAGGAACTCTTCTGATGCATTCCGATTTTAGTGTCTTTAAAGTTTCTTACTTTCTGTGATCCTTGGTTCCCCCCTTTTAAAAAAAACTTTGTCCCACAGCTGCATTCAAGTCCTCATTTCTCCCCATTTCTTTTTAGTTTTTGCGTTTAAACATACATTTAAGTTTCCTTCTGCCTCCATTCTTCAAAATATGAGTCCCACGTGGCTCAGTTGGGACTCCATTTAAGAGCTAATACAGAAGTCTCTCAAAAAAATGGATAAAAGACTCAGAAGAGTGGAAAAAAGACATGTACCTGAAGCCAAAAGAGCTATCACTAAGAGGGGACAGATGTGGTGGTGACAACGAGAACATGCTCTAAAACAGGATGCCTTCTGTAAAATCAAAGCCATGGAGCCTTTGATGCAGCGTGCAGAGCTAATCAGATTAGCCTGAATGCTAAATGGATTGCGGCTCCTGTCTGAGTGCTCGGCTCGGCCTGCTAATGACATGTTCCACCATGTTAATCGAATAACGTGCTATCGCTACACAAGCGGGAGATGTGTGGATCAGAGCTGTACATTCACGGGGTAATTCGACCCCTAAAGTGGCCTCGGGAATATGAAATGTAAATTAATTTGTCGCCGTTCCACCCAATAAAACCCTAAACGCCATAAGAAGGCAGAATTATTACCCTGAGGTGAGTCTGCTTTACTAAAATTCTGCTTATGTTTTAGTAAAAAGAGAAATCTGTGGATATAATTGGAGAAAGATCCCGGGAATTTAGCACTAGAGTGAAAATCCTTTCATCAGGGTAAAATTTGTAGCTCTGCAAGTGTTGACTGGGGGAGTTTGTGACACTCCGGCTGGAGGCTTCTGGGCTCTTTCGTATTCTTTCACACACCAACCGCTGTGTGGTGAGGTGGAGGAAAGCCAAAGTGTCAGCCATCTTTCCCCGAGGCATCCAGATGCTCTGGATCTGAGGCAGGGAGGAGCCCGGTTTGAACCCACGGGCCATCTCAGCCACTGTGCTCCTTTTGGATTAGTTTATCTCTAATTCTTCACAGTTTACTAGTAAATTTTACTACGTTTGTTCCTAAAGATGCTGGTAAGACTTGGTTTCATCCTCCCGTGTATCCATTTTTTTTCTCTCGCCACTTGTGCTGGTTACCTGAACCCAGCCGTGACCATAAAAGATGCTAGATACACCTTGGACAGATTGCCGGTGCATCCCAGAGACAATACAGAGACAATAATGCAACTTAAAAAATGCTAACTAACTACAACAAATATTTAAACTCATTAAAAAATGAGTTAGAATTTGAACTAATATTCAAATCTATCTCAAACCACATTAGATTAGCTTCATTTTACCCTCATTTTCATCTTATTTTTCTCCCTCCATTGCCCTTTTCTGCATTGATAATGGCCTGAGCCACATTGCTTTGGTACAAATTCTCTTGATTTTTTATTTGGACCAAACTTCACAGTTTAAAGGAGAAAAACAGGAATTCTGCAGGAATTTCGAGCGCATCGTGCACAGCTCTGCAGTCCTTTCTTTGGATCTGCTTTGACATCCATCCATCCACAAAGAGATGACACCATCCACTTAAAAAAGGAATTTCTGTGCTATATTAGAACATGTCCGAGGCGGGAATGGTATTTTCGCTGTTTTTAGCCGAAGTATGAAATTAAAGTCAAAAGTGAAGGCTGCGTTGCGTGTGCAGCATATAATCACAGAGGAGGCCTCACACAGGAGATAATTACAACATGTCGAGAAGTTTGCAGAACTTCAGGTGAAAGATAATACTTTTTTTGTTGCCATGGGAACGTTGCAGAGGCTCAACGAGATGGGCGTTGTTGTTATTATTATCTGCGTTCAATAGTTGTACGACTGTTAGCATTTGTGCAGGTCAAATGCAGCCGGATCAATACTAACGTTACACTGGTTATTACAGTTTGTCAAAATATTGTGCGATAAGAATGTTTTCCTTTTCTGTGTGTCAGCTTCAAACACATATTTCTAGGTCTGGATTCCAGGCTTCTCCCTGAACTGCTGTAAAGCATTTGGCTTGTGTCTGTTTCCTGTTTTAAAAAAAAGGCAAAATCTGGCTCTGGGGTGCTCCAAACGTTAGTTTTTTGCTCTGTACTATGAGCAAATGCTCTAAAAGGGTGGAGAGATGACAGAAATCCACTGTAATGCGCATCCGCTCATCTCTATTTTTGAGATGTTTTCGGTGATCCTGTGCCTTTCAGTCAACTGTCATAGATACAACGATTTTCTCTTTCTTACATTCTGAAAAAGTGCTTGTTTAAAAATCTATACCTGTTTGTTTCTGTGCACCGTTTTTTTTAGGGGGCCTCCCGGGTGTGTCTGACTGATCCTGACTGACAGGAACCAGTAAAAAAAAAAAAAAAAAAAAAAAAAAAAAAAATAGCATCTTACTTTGCCTGGAGAAATCTTTCATGTGAAGGGCACTCTCCCCCGGCAATGTGAGCCACATGCTGTCGTGTTTTCCAGCGTCGTTTCCTCAGGTTTGCACAGAGAGCATCTCTGCGAGATGCCGTCCACTTACACGGGGCTGCCCTTTTCCAGGGTCCCCGAGAGAGCTGTCAGTTCCACTTCAGCCCCCTCACAGTGCAGTTTTTATAAAATTCTGGACGGCTAAAAATTTCCTCCGAAGCAACAGCTGATATATCTAAACAAGAGAGAGAGATAATAAAAATGGTTTACGTATAAAAGCACCTGGTGTTGGTGGCAAAGAGGCCAGTCACCATGCTCACGGAGGGAAATCCTTCTTTTTCTCATCGGATTTTTTAGAAAAAATTTGTGTTGAGGAAGAGCGCAAACGTGCAGGAAGCTGTGATTCATCTTACTTCCGAGCTCACGCATGAGGAACGGACACAGTCATCTCCTCAAAGTGACAAATGTCGACTGCTCCC